ACACATTTGTATTCTAGATTTGCACAGATCACCAAGCTAGTGAAGACTAATAACCATGAAAAGCTGCCCGAGAAAAGAGGCCAGGTAAGCATCTTAAATAGTAAATAAGTTTGTGAATGTGATTCTGGTGAGCAACTTTATATAGGCACTCATGCTTGGTGAGCGTTTATTCTTGCAAATATACAAAGACAACGAAGGAACTTAGTGTCTGATTTTCTAATAGAATTTTATTGTGAAATAAGTCAATAGTGCCTGGATGGTGAGTGGCAGTGTCCTGGTGTCCTTCTCTTCATGGTGTTTGTGCTTGATTCAGGGTGGACGCTGGTGGCATGGCCTGCGCCTGCCCTGAGGCTAGGAGCAGCCTCAAGCCAACATCTTTGTTCACTGCCCTCAGTTCCTGCTCCTGCACAGGCCACAGGGGCTGAGATCAAGAAGCCATTTTCCAAAGCTCAGTTGGAGGCATTCATTAGAACCTCACAGCCCTGGTTTGTGCCTCCATGATGAGGAGCAGTCACTGCGGGTGGGGTGCTGAGCTGCCTTCCCTCCTCCCCTCGGATCTCTGGGTGGGCATCGCCTGCTGAGGGAGCAGGAGCGTGAGGAGTGCGCTGGAGAGGAAGGGGATGAGCACGGCCACCCCCACCAGACAGGAGCAGAGACCAGCGCAGAGTGGAGGTGCAGAGCTGAGCCCTGCTGGGAGGGCACAGCCAGGGCCCATCGGAAAGGAAGAGTGTGTCCTCACACACACAGTGAGGACAAGGAGGGGCGAGAAAGGTGGGTTGAAAAAGTCAGGAAAAAAGAATAGGAAAAATTAGATGGCACAAAGGTAAGAGAAAACACAGGACAGCAGGTTCAAGTTGGAGACCCTGGTTTCCAGAAAGGAAAAGAAAAGGAAGACCGACAAAGCCAAGGAAGGAAGGGCTCGAAAACAAAAGGAAGGAAAATTGGAAGCTAGCGACCCGGGGGAAGGTGAATGGGCCAGAGAGAGAACGGTGCAGTATAGGAGTGAGCGGGGCCTAGCAGAGGGTGGCCAGCAGGGAGGAGGACTGGCTGGGAAGCCCAAGGAAGAGACCGCCAGGGCAGCAGGAAGCCAGTCAGAAGCAGAGAGACCTTGAAGAAGAAGGAACCAGTGGACGGTGGGGTGTCCGGAGGGAAAGAGAAGGAAAAGGGCCAGGAGGTGGTGAAACCACAGGCAGAGGGCAAGAACGGGCAGGAGAGGAAAGAGGAAGACAGCAGGTGGAAATGGTACCCCACCTGCCCACCCTGCCCTGCTGCTGCTCAGCCTCCCTCTCCCCAGGACAGGGACCACCTAGGCTGCTTTCTTGCAGTCGGGTCGGGGGTGGGAGTGATGTACAGATGTGGCACTGGCCTTTGCTGGCCCACTGTAGGCTGCTGGGGTGGCGTGGGGTGCAATCCAGAATGTTCTCTTGCATTGGCAGCTTGGAGCTGTTGGTTTCCTGGGTTCTGGTGACGGTGGTGAGGAAGCGCTCACTGTGTGGCATTGATTTTGGTCAGTCGTTTGTGAGGTACGTATTGGGGTATCCATTTTTCACATGAGGAAACTGAGGTGTAGAGAAGTTAAGTAACTTGCCCAAGGTCACACAGCATGAGGTAGAGGATCGGACATTGGACTCAGCCACTTTGTAACTGTCGCTCTCACCCTGGCTCTGCCTGGATGTGGGCACAAACCAAACCCATGTCCCTGGGAGATGTGCAGGGCTTAGTGTGAGGAAAAAGGCGTGAGCCATCTCAGTTTATTATATTGAAATGACAATATTTTGGATTTATTGGTTGAAATGAAATATATCATTAGACTTAAGCTGATCTGTTTGTTTTGCAGTGTGGCTTCTGGACACATGTGAACTCCACTCGGGGCCTGCGGGCAGTGCTGCCTCCTACCTGGAGAACAGTCACTGCACAGCTTTGGGGCTATAGGGTTGGGGTGAAAAGGTCTTTTTGAGTGTCAACTCCAATAGTTAGCAGCTGTTTGATTCTGGGAAGATTACTTAATTTTCTAAGCCTATTTTCTCTCTTGCAAGTTGGGAAACCTCTTGCCTGCTCCGAGGATGTGCTGTTGAGTAGGAGCCTGTGTGTGAAGGCTGGTTCATCCTTCCCTGGATAACCCTCTGGTGGTCTGGGGAGGAAGAGGGTGCGTGGGAGATGGGGGGAGGCCATAAATCCCATGGATATTGGCAGATAGTTCGTAGAAACCCATCCTGGTCTGCAGGACAGAGCTCCTCAACCATGGCTCTAGCCAAGGGGGCAGGAGGGTGCTTGTCCACACCTTCCCCCACCATTTTGACTACAGCCATCCCAGTGCCAAGTAACATCATTGTGGGTTTGATTTGCATTTCTCCAAGGGCTAGAGATGTTGAGCATCTTTTCATGTGTCTGTCGGCCATTGGTGTCTCTTTGGAGAAATGGCTGTTCAGATCCTTTACCCATTTTCTAACTGGGTTATCTGTTTTTTATTGTTGAGTGGTAAGAGTTTTTGTATACTCTTTTTGAAAGAAAACCCATTGTCTAATTCAGGGTCATAACAATTTACACCTATGTTTTTTTCTGTGAGTTTTTATAATTTTAGCTCTCACATGTAGGTCTTTGATCCATTTTGAGTTAACGTTTGCATATGATGTGAGGAAGAGGTCTGACTTCATTCTTTGTGTGTGGATAGCCCAGCACCACTTGTTGAAAAGACTGTTGTTTCCACATCGGATGGTCTGGCATCCTTGTTGAAATCAAGTAACCATAGATGTGTGGGTTTGTCTCTGGACCTTTGTTCAACTCCATTGATCTGTGTGTCTGTCCTCATGAGAAAGCCACGCTGCCTTGATCACTACAGCTTTGAAGCTGTGAAATCAGCAAGTGTGAATCCTCCAACTTTGTTCTTCTATTTCAAGATTGTTTTGGCCATTCTGGGTCCCTTGTATTTCTGTGTGAATTTTAGGATCAGGTCGTCAATTTCTGTAAAAAAGCCAGCTGGTATTTTGGTAGGGCCTGTGTTGACATTTTAGATCAGTTTGGGGAGTACTGCTGTCTTAAGCACAGGAAGTCTTGCAAGCCATGAACACAGGATGGCTTTTGATTTATTTCGGCTGTCTTTAATTTCTTTCAGCAATGTTTTACAGTTTTCGGTGTGTAAGTTTTGTACTACCTTTGTTAAATTTATTTCTTGCATTTTTTTTTTTTGCTCTTGTAAATGGAATTGTTTTCTTAATTTCATTTTCAATTTGCTCATTGCTACTGGTTAAAAATATAACCGATGTTTGCATATTGCATACTGCTAGATTCATTTATTAGCTCTTATAGTGTTTGTGGATTCTTTGGGATTTTCTATGCACAAGATCATGCCATCTGCAAACAGAGATGATGTCCTTCTTTCTTTCTAATATGGATGCCTTTTATTTCATTTTCTTGCCTGTTTGCTCCAGGTAGAACCTCCAGTACAGTGTTGAATAGCGATGGTGAGCGCAGACATCTCCTCCGGTTCCTGATCTCGGGGAAAGCATCTAGCCTGTCACCATTGCATATGAGATTGGCTGTGGGGTTTTGTAGATGTCTTTGTTCAGATTGAGAAAGTTCCCTTCTATTCTTAGTTTCTTGAGTGGGTATTTTGTTTTGTTTATCATGAAAGGGTGTTGGGTTTTGTCAGATGCTTTTTCTGCCTATTGAGAGATCTTATGATTTTTATCCTGCCACGTTTTATTTTACAAAGCCTGAGAATCTAAGTTGGAAAACACATTGGCCTCAGGATTCTGTGAAGGAATAGTGGGCCTGTGCTAGGATTTACTTCTTGGTTTGTAGAAAGGATTACAAGGAACAATATATGCAGCTGCCCTTAGCAGTATCTGTGGGAGGTGGGCCCTTAGGAAGGTCAGTCTCCTCAGCAACTCAGTTGCTCATTCTGAAATGTTGGGGGCACCTGCAAAGCCTGCCTCAGTCCTAAAAGCCAGGAAGTGCAGCCCATCGCCTCTGCTCATGGGTTCCAGCCATGAGACGTCTGGAAATTGAGTTGGCTGTTGGTCATGGGAGGGCTGCAGGCCCACCTCCTTCCTTGCCTGTCTCCTCTGCAGCCCACCAGGTGTGAGGGTGAAGATGCGTGTGAGTTCAGCTACTTCCCAAAGTCCTGGCATCCCCATTTTACAGTTGAAGAAGGCTGCACAGCCACTAGAGGTGGAGCCAGCGTGGCTTACTGCTGGCCCAGGGCCGCCACCAAGTGCTGGTGTAGAGGTTTTGCAGCTTGGTCACGCTGCCCATTGGGGACACGCTGGCCAGGTCAGCATTCGTCCTGGGGACCGTGAGTGTAGAGAAGGAGACCACGATTGTGATTGCGCATGGTCTTTGGTCTTTGGGTGAGGGGTTGGTAGCAGTGCTGATGCTGCAGGACTTCCAGGACAGGTGTTCACAGGCACCTCCTGTGGGGCTGCACTGGCGGGATAGCAGGGCTGTCTGTGGGCTTCTGTGTCCTGGACGTGCTGTGGTTTGCCACCTGCTGCTGCTTATGCAGCCTCGTTGTGCACGGTGGGGCAGGGCCCCCGACAATGTGAGGTCCCCTTCTCCTGAGGTACAGGGGGAACCCATGCTTAGGAAGGACCTGCCCGGTGCCCCTGCTCTAGGAGAGTCTGGGGAGAGAGCAGTGCAATGGTGTTGTGTGAGCTGTGGGGTGTCCTGACAGGCAGCCCTGAGCTGCAGAGTCAGCGGGACTAGGTTTGGATCTAGGTCCCCGACCCCAGCCTGAGAGGTTTGCTGGACCGCGAGTGCAGGCAAACCAGCGCTGCGGCAGGACCGGAAGTGGCCCTGCCGCGCACACCTTCCTCTGCAGGGCTGGGGTCCAGCGGGTCGCCTGCCTCGCTGGCTTCTTGCCGAGCACCCCGTATCCCCTATCCCGAGCGTCCTGTCCGCCTGCGGGGGGCGGGGCCATTGGGTGACGCCTGGGCAGGGGCGGGGCCTGAGCAGGGGCGGGGCCGGTACCGTCACTCCTGCCTGACCGCCCAGCGTGGCGGATGCGCGTGGTCTGGGCCTGCCGCTGGCTCCGGACAGCGTACGCTCTGCTCGGGGACACGCCACGGCGCTCGGCTTCCCGGGGCGGCCCCCGCCGGCACAGGACGCAGAAGGACTGCAGAGCTGGGTAAGGCAGCTCCGAGACCCGGGCTGGGTTAGATCCAGAAAGTCTGTGCGAGGCCCAGTGCGGCGGCCTTGCCTTTCCTCTGCTTTTCGCTAAAAGCCGGGCCATGTAATCGAGAGGAGGCGTGTAGCTGTGTTACTAATGGGCAGAATCCCCTGAACGACGTGTTGCCCAGATGTGCAGGCCCTGCCTGAGTTCACCCCTGCTTACTCCTTTGGATTTTCATCCCCCTTTATTTTTTAGTTCAGTTTCATCTTTGATGCGGCTGTGGCTGGGCCTCAGCACAGATGTTTGGTTTTGAACTTTATGGAAAGGTTATGTTGCCAGTTGTGGTCTTGTCAGACTCCCGCTCTCCTGGAGTCTGGGTTCTCAGGTCCCCAAGTGTTTCCAGGACCGATTCTGCATGAATGCGGGGCACTCACGGGTCATCTTTGTGCCCTCAGCCAGTCTTGCCGTTTCCTGTCCCTTAGTATTTATAGAATGGTGTCTTTCTAGGCTGGCCAGTTGTCATTCATTTGCAGCCAGGAGCCCGGACAGTTTCCCAAGGCCATACAGCAGAAATGCCCTGTTTGCCTCAGAGGGCCCAGAGAGCCCAGGTAGGGGCAGGGAGAGAGGTCTAGCCTGTGCCGAGGCCGGCCTGCAGGACCCTTTGCTAGTGTGCGTCTCTTGGTAGCTGTACAGACAGATGCTTTCCAAAAAAAGTGCTGAATTGCAGTTGGGCAGGTGTGGGTAAGTAGGTTTGGAGCAACATCTCCCTTTGTTTTTTTTTTTTTTTTTGAGACAGAGTCTCAGTCCGTTGCTTGGGCTAGAGTGCTGTGGCGTCAGCCTAGCTCACAGCAATCTCAAACTGCTGGGCTCAAGCAATCCTTCTGCCTCAGCCTCCCGAGTAGCTGGGACTACAGGCGTGCGCCACCATGCCTGGCTAATTTTTTTCTATATATATTTTTAGTTATCCAGCTAATTTCTTTCTGTTTTTTTAGTAGAGATGGGGTCTCGCTGTTGCTCAGGCTGGTCTCAAACTCCTGAGCTCAAACGATCCACCTGCCTCGGCCTCCCAGAGCGCTAGGATTACAGGCAACATCTCCCTTTTAAAGCCACTTGCTTCTGATGGCCGTGCTTGGTACCTTGATCTTTGAAGGACGATAGAATGTTACCACCATGTGCAGGCACTCCACCACTCACCTGCGTCAGTGGGCTTGAGCGCAAACCCAGTCTTCAGAGCTGCTCGGCTGCTGTTTAACCTTGACCTCAACATCCTCATCTGTGAAATGGGGATGATTGTATGATTCTACCCAGGAGGCTTTGGTGAAGAACCTGGCAGTCAGGGTTTCTCAGTCAGTTCTAAGATGCATGTATTTTCACATTTTCTCACATCTGAAACCGGGATGCATCTTAAGTCAATTCTGTGAGAAATTAGCTGGGCATGGTGGGACCTGTAGTCCCAGCTGCTTGGGAGGCTGAGGCGGGAGGATCGCTCAAGGCCAGGAGTTCGAGACCAGCCTGAGCAACAGAGTGAGACCCCATCTCTACCAAAAAAAAAAAAATTATCTGGGTGTGGTGGTACGTGCCCGTAGTCCCAGCTACTGGGGAGGCTGAGGCAGGAGGATCACTTGAGCCCAGGTGTTCAAGGCTGCAGTGAGCTGTGATTGTACTACTGCACTCCTGCCTGGTGACAGAGCGGGACCCAATCTCTTTAAAAAAAAAAGAAAATCCACTGTTTTACTAGCACTCCTGTTAGCCTCACCCTACATATGCTGGAATCCGGCAGGGGGTTTATTGAAGTGAAGGCCCTAAAACCATAGATAGTAAAATAGGTGGGGCTGTTCTCATGGGACAGATGGAATCAGCAGAGGCCTTTGTCCCCCAGCTCTTCCCTTCCAGGCTTCCGGATTTGGGCATCTCTGTGTGTTTGTGATGCAAGGGGTACTGCCTGCAGTGTCTGCCTCAGGACAAGCCCTGTCCTGTGCTCCCCTCCCCCATCCCTCACCACCTAGACAATATCACACATTCAGACACCAGAGCCTCTTGATTCCACCCTAGGGTGTTCTTAAACCCATCACCTTCTGGCAGGTTATCAGCTCCTCCCACATCTGCCCCCTTCTGACCCTGCTGGGTCCCTCCTCTGCAGAGGCAGCCAGACCCCTTTCAGAAATGTCTCACGTGCCTCCCACCCTTCTCATCCTTTCAGAGGCTTCTGCTGCTCTTAGGAACTATCCAAGTGACCAGGCCCTTGGGAGTCTGCCTGGCCACGGGTTCAGCGTGGGTCTCCTGGCTCTGGCAAACCCGCTGTGTGGTCTGGGCAGGCTACTGCTGTCCTCTTCGGGAAGCATGTGCCTGCCGCCTCCACTCACCCACCATGGCCCTGATCCTCTCGCCAAAGCCCCTCTCACTGAGGCCGCTGCACTGCTGTCCCGTGTGCTGGACTCGCTCTTGTCTGAGCTCTGTTGACAGAGCTGAGCCTTAAGGGGCAGAGACCCCTGCCCACACCACTGCCAGCCGAGCCCCACCCCTCTTTCTCCTCTACCAGGCACGTCTCAGCATCTGGTTCAGCTTATGTCCTCCCTGTGGTTCCTTGGCCACCTGTGTGTCCTCAGGACGTAGCGCAGCACTGGCTCAGGGCAGACCCTTGGAAGACCTCTCAGGCCCAGATGGATGGACCATGAACGTTCATGTGGAGAGTTAGGACAGGCAGTGGCCACCATGCTGGGCCACGTCCCTCTGTCTCCAGAGCCGGGCTTGCATGGGAGGGTATGCCCAGGAGAGGAAAGTCCTATCTCCAGAAGATCCGGGGACAGATTGGGACAGAGGACCTCAGCAGGGAGCCACCTTGGGGCATGTTGTACTGGTGCCTAACAGGTGGTGCCTCCTCCCCATGAGGAGCCCTTCCCCAGAGACTCTGAGGCTCCGCGCCCCACTCCTCTGTGGGGCCACAATCACATGCCCTGCTTTCTGCCATGTCCTGCCTGTCTCACCTCTCGACTCCAAGTTCCCTCTCCAGCCAGGCCCTTTAGCAAATGAAACAGTCACACGGAGAGGTTCTGTGGGATACTGTCAAGACGTTACGCAGGATTCTAGGCCAGCTCTGAGAGGCCCCAACTGGGGAGAGGCCCTTGAGCCTCAGAGAGGAACATTTGCTACCCCTTTCCCACTCAGCCAAGCTCACCTGAGTTGGTGACGCAACAGCACACCTGGCCAGCTCAGGTAGTGAGGTGCAGTTAGGTAGTCAGGTGCCCAGGAACGGGGGTGTGAGGTCAGGCAGGTTTGAATCCTGGCTGGCAGCCCCAGCAGGGTGCCCACCTGCCTCTCACCTGGCTCTTTAGGCCTTGTTTTCCTCCCCTGTACAGTGGAGGCCACAGTGCCCACCAACCAGGAGCCACGAGGAGAGGCCACGTGGGCAAAGGCAGAACAGGCTCAGCCCAGGGCCTGGCCCACAGTGTCAGCACCCATGGGAGTGACGCGTTCTGGTTTTGTATTTCCTTAGGTGGGAAGAGGAAAAGAGCACAGAACGGGTGAAGTGGAGACAGCTGGAGCACAGAGGCCCGTACTTCACCCCCCAATATGAGCCCCTTCCGGACAGAGTTCGTTTCTTCTATGACGGTGAGGATGCCAACGAGCCAGCCAGCAGCCTGCCCCGGGTGGGGCTCCCGTGTTGGTACCGGACTCACTCCCTCAGACCCAGCTGCAGCCTTCCTCATGAATGTCAACGGTCGGTGCCCCAAGGAGATGCACCAACCTTCCCACAGGTGGTGTGCAGGGCCGCTTACCCGGGCTGGAGTTCAGAGGCTCCTGATCCACTGGCCGAGGCACAGAGGGCAGCAACAGTGTGGGGTGTGTGGGCCTGCCTGGCATCCCCCAGAAACCACGGTGTGTGCCAGGCTGCAGTGGGGAGGTGGTAAAGCTCATCCCTGAGCTCGCCTAGCTGGGCGGGCAGAGCCATTGCCTTCCTGCTGTGCCCTGGCAACTCTCCTGAGGCTGAGTTGGCTTTGTGTGTAGGTTTGTGAGCAGGACTAACCTCTGGGCAAGCCATCAGTCTCTGTGTTCCGAGTTTGTGCAGTATATACGCTGTATTCACATGCGCATATGCGTTAACAGTTACAGGAGGGCTGAGCCACCTTCAGAGTCAGGATCCCTGGGGGCCTCAGGATCGCACCCTCCCTCACCACCCTCAGGCCCACATCTTCTCTACCCCAATGCCTGGGAGCCTCTGCTTGGTTCTTGTGCTGCTCGTTGTAGCTGTTTGAGTCCATTTTCTGCATCTCTCTTAGAAGAGAGCCTTCTAGAAAAAGCAAATTTCTCCTACAGGGTCCAGCCAAGCCCTTAGCAGCCCATACTCGTGGCCTCATCACTCTGCCTGGGCTGGTTGATGGCTGGCGCCTTCTCAACCCTCTGCACCTCTTGTCTTTTGCTGAGGGCTTTTGGAGCACTCACCTCCCTGGTCCCTGCTGGGTCACACTCACACTTGCACTTACTGAACTCCCTTGATGTAAGTTTTGTTTAAAATCTATTTCTCTGAGCTACGGAGACTCTTGCTCGCTGTGCTTTCAGAGCCCAAGCACCAGTCAGTGTATGGGTTCCTGGCAGGAGGAATGGTGGCTGCAGGGGACTGGGCTGAGCGCTCCCTGCTACACCAAGCCATCCCAGCAGTGCCTGCCCAGGGTGCCCCACCAGGCCGCTGCTGGCCCAGAGGGTGGCCTGTGCCCTCCGTTGGGGGAGCTGAGGAGCTGAGCCCCTGGGCCCGTGCTAGGCCTCACATCCTCTGTCCTGAGGGGCTGATTTTGAGAAGGATTGCTGCTGTTCATCATGAATGCCTTTTTCCTTATTACTGAACTAATACACATTTATTTTTCTAACATTTTGTTATGAAACATTTTTAAACATACATTTGGGAAAGTTTCATGGTGAATGGCCTGGCCCCCACTGTGAGCATTCTGCCTGCTCGGCGCCTGCCCATCTCTTTAAATCGTGCTGATTTAGGATAAAACATAGGGGAGGCTGGTGCTGTAATCTTAGCACTCTGGGAGGCTGAGGTGGGAAAACTGCTCAAGCTTAGGTGTTTAAGACCAGCCTGACCAAGAGTGAGATCCCTGTCTCTACCAAAAAATAGAAAAAATTAGCCAGGCGTGGTGGCATGTGCCTGTAGTCCCTGCTACTCGGGAGGCTGAGGCAGGAGGATTGCTTGAGCCCAGGAGTTTGAGGTTGGAGTGAGCTGTGATGACGACACCACTGCACTCTAGCCAGGGTGACAAAGTGAGACTCTTGTCTCAGAAGGAAAGAATAAAACGTAGGGAATGATTGAGCAGAGAGTGGAAGATTTCTAAAAGGCTACACCTACAATCATTCATGGTTTTCTTCTTTGAAGCCTTTTATTTTGCTTCTGTAATTATGTGGAAATTTGTGTGTTTTAAAATTGCATGTGTTGTTGGACTTTCATATATTAGGTTATTAAGTATGAAATGTCTGATTTCCTTAAGTACCAAGTTTGACAGTTGATATCGCTGACATTTCACATTGACACTTGTTTTATTTTTATTGTGAAGGTACATCCTTTCAAATGCATGGTTTGGCTTGTGATTATGTTTTAATTTTTTTTTAGAATAATTTTGGTGAAACCATGGATAAGTCAAAAATTCATGTTTTTTTCGAGTATGAGTTCCGTTGTGGGACCAGTGCAGCACGGACAGCTGGAAATATCACGGAAGTGTTTGGGAAGGATGTGGCTAATGAATTCACAGTACATCAGTGGTTTGAGAAGTTCCTTTCTGGTGATTTTCATCCTGAGAATGAGCCATGCGGGTGACCTAAGACCAAGGTGGATAATGATGACCTGAAAGCTGTAGTGGAAACGAATGTATCTCAACCTATGCATGAATTAGCAGCAAGGTTCGAAGTTACTATTCCAATATTGGACCATTTAAAGTAAATCAGCAAAATAAAGAAGCTGGATAGATGGGTAATGCATGAATTAAACGAGTGTCAAAAGAGAAATCATCTTGAAGCTTGCCTTCTTTGCTGTCACGACATATAGGTGAACCATTTCTACAGTGCATTGTTATGTGTGATGAAAAATGGATTCTGTTTGACAATTGCAAGCGTTCAGCACAGTGGTTGGTTACAGATGAAGTGCCAAAACACTGTCCAAAACCAAATATTCATCAAAAAAAAGCTAATGGTATCTGTTTGGGAGTCCAGCGCTGGTATTACCCACTACAGCTTCATGAAACCTGGTCAGTCGATTACAGGAGATGTCTACTTGACCCAACTGGACGAAATGATGAGGATGCTTGCGATTAAGCAGCGGAGATTGGTAACAGAAACAGGCCAATCCTCTCAGAAGACAACGCTGGACCACATGTCACACAAACAACGCTGCTCAAACTACAGACGCTGGACTTGGAAACTCTCTGTCATCACCATAATCACCAGACCTTGCACCGACTGACTACCACTTCTTCCAGACTTTGGACCCCTTCTTGCAAGGAAAAATACTCAATTCTCAACAAGCTGTGGAAAACGCCTTTTGCAGTTTCATTGTCACTTGCTCTCCAGGCTTCTTCGTTGCTGGCATAAGCAAGCTACCCCTAAGATGGCAAAACTGTGTCAATGGTTTAGGTGCATACTTTGATTAATCGTACTGCTTCTTGTTTGAGATATAATAAACTACACTTTTGATTCAAAATCGGACGTTTCATGTTTAATGACCTAATATACATGTAGCAAAATTAAAGGAGGGAAAGTGTGAATGACTGTAGCTGTTGAAATCTTCTGCAGGGTTCTCAGGATCTACTCGAGATCCTCCTGGCCTTTACGTGTATGCACGTGCATTAATCATTTGTAATTTAGAATGTGCTCCTGAACTTAAAAGGCAGAAACCCAGCTCTTGCTCTTAGTGTCGTGTGCACTGGTGTGTAACTTACAGTAACGGGTCACGTCAGCTGGCTCCCTAAATCAGAGTGTCTTTTGGTGTCTGTAGGAAAGCCTGTGAAATTGAGCGTGGCAGCTGAGGAGGTTGCCACTTTTTATGCAAAAATGTTGGATCATGAATATACGACAAAGGAAGTTTTCCAAAATAACTTCTTCAGCGACTGGCGAAAGGTAAGTGCCATGGACCAGGCTGGCCAGGCCCCTGTAGGCCGCAGGGCCATTGGCTGCTGCCTCTGGGCAGCCTTTGCACACTCTCGGTGGCCATTGTGTGTTCTCAGCACAGCCTGGTGCTCTCTGTTGTGTTTTATATTTTTTTACAGATGGATCTTACTCTGTTGCCCAGGCTGGAATACAGTGGCTGTGCACAGGAACAACTATAGTGCACTATAGCCTTGAACTCCTGGCCTCAGGCGATCCTCCTGCCTCAGCCTCCAAGTAGCTGGGGCTGCGGGTGCCGCCACAGCGCCTGTCCTGGTGTTCTTTAGACATTTCCCTGCCCAGGCAGGCAGAGTGTGGAGCCAGCTTTGCCGTGACCTTGCTCCAGGTACCGCTAGAAGGCCTCTGGCTCTCAGAAGAGGGCAAGTGGAAGAGGCGACAGTGGCCTTTTCTGGCCCCCAGGAAGACAGACACTGGGTGGGAAGCTCTTTGAAGATAACGGTGCTATATTAAGGTTTTTTCCTTTTTTTTTTTTTTTTAAAGTTGAGTTACATGTGAGTCTGGACTAATCTTCGAGTATAGCTCAATTGAGTTTTAAGTGCATGCACCCCTGTGACTCCCCACACGCCTTCCCAGGGTTGCTCTCAGCATGATTCTTGTGAGCTTCAGCCTCAGGTTGCTGTTCCAGCAGCTTCTTCCTGGCTGTTGTGGGGTAGTATTTCTTTTGTTGTGTGACTACACAGTTTTTCCATTTTCCTATTCACGGGTATTTGATTGTTTCTACTTTTTGGCTTCCGTTATAAAGCTGCAGGGCACATTCCCACGTGGGTCAGGGTGTGGGCACGTGAGTTACCCCTCACAGGACTCAGAGGTGAGATTGCTGGGTCACAGGCTGCACATGGGTGCGGCTTACTAGAAACCGTACGTGCTACCGTCCATGTGCCGTGCCACACCAGGCTTCCCTCCTGGTGAGTGGGAAGTGATATCTCATTGTGGATATAGTTTGCATTTCCCTAATGACAAATGATGTTGAGCATCTTTTTGTGTACCTATTTGTTATTTGATATTTTCTTTTGTGAACTTTGTCCATTTGAAAAACTGAGTTGCTTGCATATTGCTTACTAATTTATAGGAGTTTTTAAAATATGTTCTGGATATAAGTTTTTTGCTTGATACATGTGCTAGGAATATTCTCTCAGACTCTGCTTGCCACTGCTTCCTCAGTGAGGTCTTTGAACCTCCCTGAGAAAATTTTAATTTATCAATTATTCATTTTGTCAGTTTATCACTCTTATTCTTTCTTTCTTCCTTTTTTTTTCTTTAAAGAGACGGTGTCTTGCTCGGTCACCCAGACTGCAGGCTGGAGTGCAGTGGTACATTCACAGCTCACTGTAACCTCGACCTCCTGGGCTCAAATGACCCTCCTGCCTCAGCCTCCCGAGTAGCTGGGACTGCAGATGTGTGCCACCACGCCCGGCTAAATTTTTAGAAGACCCAGTATTTTTTTCTTTTATGATGAGTACTTTTTCATCCTCTGTGAGTCCATTACCAGAAATGTGATTTGCAAAAAATTTCTATCTAGTCTGTGGTTTATATTTTTATTCTCTTTAACAATGTTGTTGGGCTGGGCCTGGTGGCTCACGCCTGTAATCCTAGCACTCTGGGAGGCCAAGGCAGGAGGATCGCTCGAGGTCAGGAGTTCAAGACCAGCCTGAGCAAGAATGAGACCCCATCTCTACTAAAAATAGAAAGAAATTAGCTGGACCAATAAAAATATATAGAAAAAATTAGCCGGGCATGGTGGCACATGCCTGTAGTCCCAGCTACTTTAGGAGGCTGAGGCAGAAGGATTGCTTGAGCCCAGGAGTTGGAGGTTGCTGTGAGCTAGGCTGACGCCATGGCAACAGAGCTCACTTCAACACCTGCCTACCTGGGCCCCTCTTGGCTGATCTCAGTGGGGGGCCTTAGCGCTCTGCCTGGAGCCTGTCCTCCTGCTGCAGATGTCATGTTGTCTCTGTGGATGGGCCCCCAGCTGGGGGTTCCCATGCTGTGTGATCGTGCTAGTGCTCTGCCCACTTGCAATCATGTGTCTCTCTGGTTTTGTGCAGGAAATGACAGTAGAAGAGAGAAAAGTCATCAAGCACCTAGACAAGTGTGACTTCACGGAGATGCACAGATACTTTGTGGACAAAGCTGCAGCCCGGAAAGCCCTGCCCAGGGAGGAAAAGCAGGTCAGCTGCCCTGAGCACTGGTGACCCTGAGCGGCTGGTATGCGAGTGGCCCCTGGGGGTGAGAGGCCAGCCTGGCCCAGGGGCTGAGAAAGGCCCCATAGCCTTAGAGAAGCTCTTCTCACGAGACTTCCCCTTGTCCAGTTCTTTAACGTGAGCGTCCCCTAGAAGGTGTGATCACAGCCCAGGGGATGCGGTGCCATCCAGTTCTTGGACACTGTCGAGTTAATGCAGTTAAAATGTAGTTCACTTTACCCAGAGCACATTGAAGATAAATGTACTGTTTGGATAATAGGGTGAATAATTCACTGGCAGTGATGATGGTGGACCCGGGACGGGGCTGTGGGCCGAGGGCAGCACTTGTGCCAGGGAAGCCAGTGTCACGCTGCTCTGAGCCTGACGGGCCTGCTATGCTGTGATCTCTCGTGTTGACCTCCAGGGACTCCTAGGGAAGGGTAGTGCCTTCTCAGTCACTGGTTACAGAGGGATTCAGGTTTACTCCAAAACCTGGCTTAGCTTTCCTCCTACCTATGAGGCTGCCACGCTCCCTCTGCCTGGTTTTACTGCTCACGTCTGAAACAGCTGACGCCTCTGCTCCCGCGGTGCACACCCACACTGCGTCCCCTCAGACCTCCGTGGACACAGAGGGCTCTGAGGAGCCCAGCTAAGTTAGCAAAGGCAGGAGCTAGTCCTGGGTTAGCTACAGGGGGTTGACCTTCGTGCTGTTCTCTTTGCTGCTAACATCCACATACTGTTCTGTTAACTCAGAAGCTAAAAGAAGAAGCAGAAAAACTTCGGCAAGAGTTTGGCTACTGTATTTTAGATGGTCACCGAGAAAAAATAGGCAATTTCAAGATAGAGCCACCTGGGTTGTTCCAGGGCCGTGGTGACCACCCCAAGATGGGGATGGTGAAGAGGAGAATCCTGCCGGAGGACGTGGTCATCAACTGCAGCAGGTGCGGCCACACAGGGTGTGCAGCTGCGGGCACGGGTCCCCGGCCACCTTGGCGAGGCTTTGTTCCTTCGCTGTTCCTGGGAAAGTGAATCGTGTTGAAAAACACGGGGCTGGCAAATCCACGCACCATTCCTGCCTGAGCCAGGAGCACTGCCCAGCACAGGCGGGGCAAGGACGTTCCACACGGGGTGCCTGTGACCAGAAATCCTACTCACTTTTCCTGTGGTTGAGATTTTTCCTCACCAAGAAAATTTTCCTGCATGTTTTCAACGTATATTTTTTCATATTCCATGTTATCCAGATGGTCTAATGGCATGTCAGTGTTTTGAACATATTGGAAGAGTTCAGTTGTTTTGGTAGTGCCACGTTACTGACAGTCTATGTGACCAGAGTGTCGAGGAACAGCCCCGCCTGAGTGACCCCAGGCAGCAGGGTTGGTTCGGGCTGCAGCAGCCGAGGTCTGTCAGTCCGAGCTGCAGCATGGACACCTTGCCGGGGCGGCCACTCAGCTTCCTGGTCTGACCCTGGTCTTTGTGTGTGTGCAGAGGGTGGGCTGGGGGCTGCTGTGGTCCTGAGGCCAGTCTCCGTCAGGAGCCCCGCCAGTGCCGCGGGCCACTGTGTAGGATGGTGCCCCAGAGAGACTCCTTTTGCTCATGTTTCAGAGAACAAGGTCTTGAAGTTATGTTTGGGTCTCTGTTTTGCCACAGGGACTCAAAGATTCCTGAGCCACCAGCGGGTCACCAGTGGAAGGAGGTGCGCTCGGACAACACTGTCATGTGGCTGGCCTCGTGGAAAGAAAACATCCAGAGCTCCATCAAGTACATCACACTGAACCCAAGCTCGAAGCTGAAGGTGCGCATGAGGCTTTGAGGTATTCCTTTCCAGGAAGCCCCCCAGGATCAGGCGGGCAGGGGCTGGCCCGTGGGCTGCACTCAGTAACTGAAAGCAGGTGCCTGAGGGGCAGAGTGGCCAGGAGCTAGCCAGTGTGGACATCTCACTGTGTCCAGTGGCCATGCATCTTAAAAGAAAACCAGGACCGTCTGCATGTTTGCATTCCTTTCAGATTTCACTAAAGTTGGACGTGGCGCTCCCAGCCCCCGGCCCCACCAGTTCTGAGTGTAGATGTGTGAGGTAGGGGAGGGAGAGTCACAGCTTCTCCAAAATTATTAAGGGGAATACGAAGAGTTTCTTTACTATTTATTTTCTTTATTTAGGGGGAGAAAGATTGGCAAAAGTATGAAGTAGCTCGACGCTTGAAAGGGGTTGTAGATGAGATCCGTTCTCAGTATTGGGCAGACTGGAAATCACGAGAAATGAAGAGAAGACAATGTGCGGTGGCCCTTTACCTCATCGATAAGGTTCGGTGGTTTGCCCGGGTCTTTCCCGGCTGCTGTTCATCAAGGTTCCCTGGGTTGGGCGGGCGCGGCGTGGTGACGGCGGGCCTGTGTCTGGGGCGTGCGTGTGTGTGCATGCGTGTTTGTGCAGGGCGAGTGCACATGTGCACTGGTTTCCACCCTGACTAGCTGGCGCTGAGAGCAGGGAATGAGAAGGAGGAAGGGGAGGAGGCCGACACCGTGGGCTGCTGCTCCCTCCGCGTGGAACACATCCGACTGCACCCAGAGGCCGACGGCCAGGAGCACGTTGTGGAGTTCGACTTCCTGGGAAAGGACTCGATCCGCTACTGTAACAGAGTGCCCGTGGAGAAGCCTGTGAGTGCACGGTGGCTGCAGGCCTCACGCCTGGGGTCCACCAGCTCATCCTTGCTTGATATATGCAGCAGCTCTGGGTATTCTCTGGGGGCGTGGCGGAACTGCAGCTGGGGTCTGTGGCCTGTTTGCCAAGTCCCAGCTGCTGGAGGCAAGGCCTGCTGTGCTCTACTCGGCTAAGTGGGGTGATGGAGAGGCCTGCCCCTGCCCAAGGATGAGGAAGGGGCTGAACCAGACCCACCTTTGTAAGCTTTTGTCACCTACCTGGCACATGAGTCTCTCAGCTGCCCTCATGAGATGCTATAGCTGGGTGGTTTAAAACAGCAGACATTTATTGTCCCTCGGTTCTGGAGGCCAGAAGTCCGAGATGAAGGTGTCAGCAGAGCTTGTCCCTCTGAGACTCTGGGTAGGATCCTTCCTGGCCTCTGGCAACTTCCGGTGCTGGCCATGGATCCCAGGCGTCCTTGGCCTTGGCTGCATCGCTCCAGCCTCTCCTTCCATTGTCACGTGGCTGTCTCCTCCCTGGCCCTGTCGCTTCTCCTTTTCTGATAAGGACCACAGTCGTGTTGGATTTAGAGCCCACCCTACTCTATGGTGATTACATCTGCAAAGATCCGCTTTCCAAATGGGGTCACACTCCAGGTTCTGGGAAGAACATGAATTTGGGGAAACTGTTCAACCTGGTACACCTGGGAAGGGTCTCCTAGCCCTCTGGGGGCTCCCACTGTGTCCCTGACTCCCCTGCTGGAAAGGGTGGGGCAGGGGTCAAGCCCGTGGTGACCACCGTGACCAGAATGCTGTGTTCAGCAGCACTGGTGGACAGATGGATGCAGTCTGGAAGGGTTAGATTGGTTTCTGGTCTGCAGGTCAGTTTGAAGGCAAGAAAATCGGAATGTGGGGAGCATCCATGCCTTTCGGGATGGCCATGCTGCAGAGTGATCATATCCCCTGTCTGGGTGGGCACCAGATTGCAGCAACGCCGAGCAGACCACACGCCAGCCATCTGCACCTCACAGGCACAAATGTGGCCCAGCCGTGGGGTGGAGCCGTCCAAAATCGGAAATGGGAAATTTGGGGACAGGTATTGAGGGCAGCAGGGGAACAGAACTGCTGGTGCAGGACAGGTGGGGCTCTGAGAGGGGGTGTGGGCTGTCCTGAGGGATGAATTCATGGAGATACAAGGCTGAGGCCAACAAACAAAAGAAGAGGCCAGGAGCCTTGTGCTATAGTGTCACCCGGTGCAGGGTGGGCAGCAGATAGAGGCCTGCACGGGGCTCCAGTCTGTCCAGAGGATCAGGCACCATTTCAGTGGTGTTGGGAGGAATATTAGTAACAGCAGATGCATGTGATGTAAAGGAAAACGCAGGCTGTGAAACTGTTTTGTCAAGATGCCAACAGTGTAAAAACTAAACGTGTAAAGAAAGATAAGAACAAACCTGAGGTTGGGAGTTACGGGGTGGTGCCTCTGGCTGCAAAGCTGCTTCTTGGGAGGCGCCAGCACCTCGCTGTTCTATAGAATTGGGCTCATTGGTGGGTGGGGAATCAAGGTGAGGGCGAGGGGCCTCTCACCTTATGAGAGGTGGGTTTGTGGTGGAGGCCGCCTTAAACACGGGCCCTCAACTTGGGGACATCTGGTGGAGGGCTCGTGTTGGTGGGTTTGCAGAGTGGCAGGAGCCACACTTCGGCCATACCGGTGGTAGGTCGCTTAGCGGTGAGCGACTGCATGGGTGGCCAGGCGCGTGGGGCGCAGATGCCACTGGTGGCTCCCAGATGGGTGAACCTGGGGCTGCTTGGACCACCTTCCTCAAGGAAAACGGACTGCAGGTTTTCAAGCTGTGATTGTGCAAATGCCTCTGTGGCTCCTAATTTAATTCCTGTTTCCTGTGTCTTCAGAAGAGGCTTCTTTCCTCTTTTTGCTCTTATCTTATAAATCTTTTTCACAGGACTCTCTGGGGCTGAAATTATTCTCTCTGTTTCAGGTGTACAAGAACTTACAGCTGTTTATGGAAGACAAAGACCCTGGGGACAACCTCTTCGACAGACTGACTGTGAGCTGTTCACATTTCCCCAGCGCTTGGCGGTGGCAGGACCCAGGGAGAGAGCGTGAACGCCGAGTCTAGCTCGGTCCCGATCACAGCAAGCCCAGGGCTGCCTATGTCCTGACCCACCTGCTAAAATCCCCTTTCCTTCCTTCCTGCGGGAGGCTGGGAAGGGCGCCATGAAACCACATTTAGAGAGACCCGTTTCCTCCCACTGCGCTCAGACGGCCAGCCTGAACAGGCATCTTCAGGACCTGATGGACGGGCTGACCACCAAAGTCTTCCGAACCTACAACGCCTCCGTCACCCTGCAGGAGCAGCTGCAGCTACTGACACGTGGTGAGCCGGGTGGTGGGGAGCACGTCCCTGCACCCTAACTGGGCTCCTGGGCTGGAGCTACCTGTTGGAGGGCGCAGGACCCTGTTCTAGGGACCTTGTGGGTCGGGGGAGGGGGAGGGAGGTGCTGGCTTGTATCAGGGAGTGCAGCTGGCCTGGCTTGGGCAGGAAGGGGCTGGCGTGTGGGGGTGGCTGGTCCTCAGGTGTGCTCCCTGCAGGGTGGTCCCTCCTGCTCAGCTCTCTGCAGTCCCCCTAGCCCTGCAGTCAGGCCTTAGGCCCTGCCTCCCCCGGCCTTGCCTCCCCCAGCCCTCAGAGTCAGTTCAAGGGCCAGCTGGCCTCTGCACTTTGCAGCGGCTTCTGTCTCCTCCTGCTCGGCCACTCAGCTCCCTCCACCTCAGACCACTGGGCCTCTGGCCCCAGCTCCCCTCAGCTTTGGGGCCCTCTCCTTACGCCTCATGCCTTGGTGCAAAGGGTGCTTCTGAGCACAGCCCAGGGTCCGTCTCTCCCTGCGCCCATCCTGCTCTCCAAGACGGGCTTCCTCGAGGAGGTGCTAAGGCCTGGTGTTCCAGGAGCTCTGTTCGGAGTGGGGGCCCCCCAACGCAACCCAGCAGCCATGGATGTACAGACATCCAGGCATCAGTTCTGTGTGTGCTGTGGGTGTCAGAGGCCACTGGGCCTGTGTTGTCTTGGGGACATTATCAGGGATCTGGGGCCACGTCTGGGCAGGTTCTAGAGCACAGAGCGCTGTGGGGATGAGGAGGAGCTTGCTGGTTTCGGATTGGGAGTTCCCAGCAGAGGAATCAACCTGCAAGAGGCAGGAGACCCCAGGGAAGTGGGGCAAGGCCAGGCCCGGGAGAGAAAGTGAAGGAGTTCATAAACCTGGGTGGGGCGCCGCTGCCCTGTCCTGGGATCGGCAGGTGCGGGAGGGAGTGTGAAGATGAGTGGCCACTGGGACAGGTGATCTGGGGTGGGTGCTTAAGTTCCCTGAGCCTCAGTTTCCTGATTAGAAAATGGAAATGATGGTACCTTATGGGACGGTGTTACGTGAAACCAGGTACCAGCACACTGTGTCCTGGTCATGGGCCTCTGTGTTGTCACCATGGACTCATGACAGGGTAGGACCCCCAGACCGCTGCATACAGACAGCTCCTGAGGCAGCTTCCCCAGCAGGCCGGAGGGGTACCTTTGGGCTCCTGGGACCTTCCCCCGCCCCAAGGCATTGCTACTGTGGCTGAACCCAGCTGACCCCTGGCCTGTGGGCCACCTTGGATGGGGCACTTACCTCAGTCACCCTCCCAGCAAGATCCTTGTGCCAGTGGAAGGGGCTCCAACTTGGGACATGTTGAGAAAGGCAGGCTCAGAGTGGGTGCATGTGAGTGATGGCTGTCACTGTAGCTGCTGCTTCTAACAGACTGTCTTTGCTCAGCTGAAGACAGCGTAGCAGCCAAGATCTTGTCTTACAACCGCGCCAACCGAGCCGTGGCCGTTCTCTGCAACCATCAGCGAGCAACTCCCAAGGCCTTCGAGAAGTCGATGCAGAATCTCCAAACAAAGGTACACAGCTCGCAGGAGAGCCCCTCGCTGGTCTCTCATGGACCCTCCTTCTCCTGCTTCCCTTCCTCCCCCTCTTACTTCCCCCTTCCCTGGTACCCCCATGAGGCCAGAAGAGCCACCCATAGGTGGGCGTGAAGGGTTCATGTGGGGCAGAGGTGCTCCCTGGAGGCTGATGGCAGGTAAGTCAGGCTGCCCAGGGCCAGGTTCCAGGCAGGAGGTGGCTTCCCCCAAGGGAAGCCTTCAGTCTTCCTGGTGAGACACAGCCTGTGTGTTCTAGTCCAGGAAGGATGTCAGCAGAGCAGGGAGCCCTCGGGGGTGCTGGATCAGTTTCTGTGGCTGGAGCAGGTGGTACTTTTGGGGCCTAGAGGCCTCTTGGCCACACCCTATCAAGGCCAGCAGGCTGTGGACAGTGGCCCCAGAGCTGGACCTCGTGGGGACGGGAGCAGCCTTGCCTGGGCCCTTTTCCTTTGCAGATTAAGGTGAAGAAGGAGCAGGTGGCCGAGGCCAGGGTGGAGCTAAAGAGGGCGAAGGCCGACCATAAGACCCGAGGGGATGGCAAGTCCAGGAGGTGAGCATGGGGGCCACTCCTAGACATGCGTGTCTCCTGGGGGCCAACCTGTGTGAGCCTGGATGTGGTCGGCCTTGGACTTCAGCTTTCCTTTGGCCAATTTTGTTTATCTTTTCAATCGTTATATCACAATTTTTAAAAATACTATAGTACTTGTGGGACAATGTGAGACAGTATGGAGCCAGGTAAGGAGAAGCCCCCCTCCGATGTGGCCTGTCAGTGGTGGGTCAGCGTGGCGCAGGGCTTGCCAGCTGCTCTGACTCTTGTTTTTTGTTTTTAGCAGCTTGACATACAATTTTCAGAACCTGAAGTGTATCATTCAGTGTTTTTAAATCATATTTAGAGGTGTGCAACCATCACTACAATTTTAGAACATTTGCGTCACCCCAAAAAGAAACCCTGAACCCATCAGCAGTCACTCCCCACTGCGCTCACCCAGCCTCTGGCAACCACTGATCACTTCCTGTGTCTTTAGATTCGTCTGCTCTGGGCATTTCATAGAAATAGAGTCATACAGTGTGTGGCCTTTTGTGTCTGGCTTCTCTCACCTAGTATGATGTCCAGGTTCACTCACGTCTAGCATCTGTCAGAACTAACTTCCTTTTTATGGCCAAATATACTTCATTGTATGGATGGACCACACTGTGTCCATTCATCCCTCCATGGACATCTAGTTGGTTTCCACTTTTTGGCTACATTGAGTCATGCCATTGTCAACATCCAGGAGGGATGGCGGCAGGGGCAGGGGAGAGGTGCGGTCTCCTCAGGGGTTTGGCCTGCGCCCTCCCACTGAGGTGCGGGGACCGGAGGCCTTGTCTTCTTTTGCCAGTTTTCTGGAGAAGAAGAGGCGGGTTCTGGAGAAGCTACAGGACCAGCTGGCAAGGCTGAGCGCACAGGCCACAGACAAGGAGGAGAACAAACAGGTGGCCTTGGGCACGTCTAAGCTCAACTACCTGGACCCCCGGATCAGCATCGCCTGGTGTGTAGGCCTAGGGTCGTGGTTCCCACCTGTAGCCTTGAGAGGGGCCTGGATTTTCCAGGAGTTCCCAGTTGAGTCTCATGTGTCCCTTATGCCCTCCACAGTCAGCACAGGTCCTTTCTCTGACAGGACTGACTGACTGGTATGTCCCTGAGGCTGAGTCCTGTGGCATCAGTCCTCCCTCCCCGGAGCTTTGGGATGGGCAGGGTGAGGCTGGGGCAGGGCTGGCAGCCTGGGACAGAGCGACCATGGTGCTCACTCTCCCACCGGGAGCGGGAAGTGGCCAGGTCTGTGTTCTGAGTGCCCCACTCAGTGGACACATGGGCCGCAGCAGGTATAGTCTTTGACGCCTCCCTCGCACATGTAGTTCCTGGTCTCCAGGCTGCACTGAGGCCACTGCTCTCTTCTGAGCACCTTGATCTTCGAGGTGGGCGAGCCGCTGGCTTGCCTGGGCTGACACGTCCTCTCTGCAGGTGTAAGAGGTTCGGGGTGCCTGTGGAGAAGATCTACAACAAAACGCAGAGGGAGAAGTTCGCCTGGGCGCTCGACATGGCAGGTGAAGACTTTGAATTCTAATGGTTCTGTGTCTTCATGGAAACTTTATAGTTTTTTCACTATTAAAGCAATATTGGGAAATTTTATACAATGAAATGTTTTGCACAAGTATTTTCTTATGTCATCATAGAAAAAAGTCCCTGACACCTGCTGGCACCTTGATCTTGGACTTCCCAGCCTCCAGAACTGTGAGAAACATTAATAAATGTCTGCTATTTAAGCCACTCAGTCTATGGAATTTTGTTATAGCAGCCTGCTCTAAGACAGGTGCTGCTCCAACAGGTGCTAAAACCTAAGACACACTGCATTGACTTTGAGTCCAGTGATGGAGGCTGGAAAAATGGTGAGGAAACAGCTGAGCAGCCTGAGGGGTGGGGGACATGTTAGGTAGTAATGAAAAAAATGGGTGAAAAAAAAAAAGTACCTTCAATAACTTGGAAATTAGAAAATGGATCCGACCAAGGAGAGCTCCAGACATATAGAGTGTTGAAACTGTCAGTTGAATGCTTCTAACTGCATAAAGTCTGCAAGTGTGAAATAAGCCAAACGATGAATTGTCCAGTTTGCAAGCAGAATGTAGAGGAAATATATAGGAGTTGGAGCTTGTACTGGTTTGATAAGTAAAACCATTTAACATCTGTTTCTCTAGCCAGCATAAGATTCTTCAAGTAATAAATGGCCTCAGTGTGAAGACAGAATCAAGGTTGTGGCCATAACACTCTGTTAAAGCCCCAGAAAGGTTTAAGATAGTATCTAGTACAAACCCCCTCAGCTAGACAAAAGGGTTTCTAAGAAATATAAGGGATGTTGTCCCACAGCATCCTAACACACCTTACAAAATAGAGAAAATGATGATTTGAAAAAAAAATTTTAAGCATTTTTTTTGGTCTGATGGAGTAGACTATATTCTTCTACGGAGGAAATCCACAAGATTTTAAGGGAGTTATATCAGTTTGAATGAAAAGGGACTGAGAGTTCAAAATGAAAAGAGGCCTTTGGGTTCCCATATTTCTCCAGGCAGTAAGCAGGCTGAGAAAGCTACTCAGTTACAAATATGAACCATTTGGTGTCTCAGCATACAGAGAAAAGAGACCAGGGGCAGAGCCAAAATCTGAGGCAAGAAAAATGGCCAAGACTTCACTCCCAGGGAAAATGGGGCCCTAAAAAAGGCACAAATTCTGTCCCCTAAGTAAGGGGACTTGACAGCATATTATTCACTGAATTACAAAATTGCTATAGATTAGTGTCTGCTACATGTCTCCATCTCTATCTTTTCCAAATGTGAGAGTTCATCATGCTTAGCCTGGCCCTGGCCCTGTCTGAAAATTCTATGTTGGGGGAAGGGCAGATAATTTTCTTTTTGGTTTATAGGCCTTTGGCTCAAGAGGCATCTCATCTACATCCAGACCAGATGAAAACCATGAGACAATGGTATTTGAGCCTGAGACAGCAATTGGAAGGGACTTTTGAATGCCCTAAGAAGGGGGGCATATTTTGCAAGAGGAAGGAAAGTAAGTAAGATGGCTACAGAGTGGTCTGTGGTGAATTAAAAATGGTCACAAGCCAGAAGCTGGGCTTGGAGGTAAACGCCGGTAATCCCAGCTATTGGGAGGCTGAGGTGGGAGGATTGCTTGAGCTCAGGAGTTTGAGTTCAGCCTGGGTAACATAGCAAGACGCCACTCTGACAAACAGCCACAAATCTTGCAGTTCCTCCCATCAAATGGAGTCTGTTTGTCCATCCTGGGGGTTTCCTTTGCTGTCATGGCGGGGATCCTCCGTCACCACTTTTTTGTATTAAATTCCATTTACTGGATCCCACTTCTTCCTCTTTCTCAGTTTACTCCCTTGTTTTGGAGCTCCTCTTTTAGTAGGCTCCTGAAAAAACATTTCATGAAAAGTAATGAAAAAAAATTTGATGAGTTTGTATATCTAAAAAGATTGTTATAGTACCACACTTGACTGATCATTTGGATAGCTAGGTTGCAAATTATTTTCACTTGTTATTTTCAAAGCATTGTTCCATTGCCTTCTAGCTTCCAGTACTGCTCTTAAGAACCTCCCTCAATGATTTGTATTCCTTATCCTCTGTGTGTAACCTGTTCTAAGATCTTCTCTAATCACTGATTGTCTGATATTTCATGACATCATGCCTTGATGCAGATCTTTATTCTTTGTGCAGAATCTTGGTAGCTGCTTTTACTCTGGAGATTCGTGTCTCTCAGTTCTGGGGGAAAATTAAAATTATTTATCCAATAATTTCGTTCCCACCATTTTCTGTCTTCTTTTTCCCCCTGGAGCTCCTCCTGTTAGTCTTAATCTTTGTATCTCATTATCCAACTTCTTCTCTTTTCATTCTTTTAAAAAGATATTCTCAACTTTACTTTTCAACCTTACTAATTCAATTTTGGCTATCACATTTTCATTTCTAAGGTATCTTTTTTATTTTTTAATTGTTCTTTTAAAAACAATATTCTGGCTCAGGCACAGTGGCTCATGCTTGTAATCTGAGCACTGCTGGAGGCTTAGGCATGAGGATTGCTTGAGGCCAGGAGTTTGAGACCAGCCTGGGCAACATAGCAAGATCCTGTCTTTACACAAAAAATTAAAAAAATTAGCTGACTGTGGCGGTGTACACCTGTAGTCCTAGCTACTCAAGATGCTGAGGCAGGAGGATTGTTTGAGCCCAGGAGGTTACAGTGAGCTATGATTGTGCCACTGTACTCCAGCCTGAGTGACGCAGCAAGACTCAATCTCCTAAAAAAAAACCACACAACTGTTCTTAATTTTTTTTTTTTTTTTTTTTTGAGACAGAGTCTCACTTTGTTGCCCTGGCTAGAGTGAGTGCTGTGGCGTCAGCCTAGCTCACAGCAACCTCAAACTCCTGGGCTCATTGAGCAATCCTTCTGCCTCAGCCTCCCGAGTAGCTGGGACTACAGGCATGTGCCACCATGCCCGGCTAATTTTTTCTATATATATATATTTTTAGTTGCCCAGATAATTTCTTTCTATTTTTTGGTAGAGACGGGGGTCTCACTCTTGCTCAGGCTGGTCTAGAACTCCTGACCTTGAGCGATCCACCCACCTCGGCCTCCCAGAGTGCTAGGATTACAGGCGTGAGCCACCACGCCCGGCCTGTTCTTAATTTCTTAATAATACAGTTCCTTTTCAATCTCTTTGAGGTCACTAATTATAATTTTGTTTACCTTTTCTTCATTTCCCGCACTATCTCTATATCCTTTGAGTTCACAATTTTGTTTCTTTGGTTTGATTTCTTACTTGCCTGGTTAGAAGCATTCCCCAGACACCTGGTGATGTTTCTTTCCATCCATACAGAAGAGTGAAGGAGGTAACGGGAAATTGTGTGTGGGCAGGTGAGGCTTGTTGGCAACAGAGTAGACTGTGGTTGCTTTTGAGGTTGGGGGAACCCCAAAGGTCAGCATTTTATGTCTTTTCTCTGGGATTGTTTATTTCTTCCAGGGAAGGAACCGCCATACTCCTGTTATCTCCAGGTACTGAGCCCTTCTAGGGTTTTGCAGAGCAAATTGGCTTGCTTCTCACCTCAATGGGCAACTAAGTTTGGCCTTTCTTCCCTTGGCTGATTCATGACTCCATCTGCTTTCTACCTTCATGTATGTGGTCCTGGGTCACAGATTCCTCTTAGCAACTTTCATCTTTTAACTGGCAATTCCACAGTTATGTTTACAGCGAGTGACTATGGACATATTTGAATTTCTTTTTACCATCTTACTCTTTATTTGTGCAGTTTTTTCTGATTATTTTTGTTATTTCTTAAATGACAGTTTTTGTTCATTTAAAATTACTGCATTTTTTATTTCTACTGGATTAGAGAAGTACAGACCAGTTATACTTTTAGTAATGAACATTATGAGATGAAAATATTAGATAAGTAGTGAGTTCAAATAGACCATTGTTTTATATTATACTGTGTCTTGTCTCTCCGATTACAGATTATAAGGTCCTAAGGGTATGTCGCTCCATAAATTAATATTACTATATTAGAGACAGAAATGATCTCAGATTTGCAGGGCTTTGCCCTGAAGGAATATGTGAATGTGTTAGTTTGCATATCAAAAGCTGCTCCACCTCACGAGGGCATCTCAAAGGTCAGTAGCAGCTACTTTCCAAGGTGACGCTGCAGTCTCAAACCTGTGGTTCTCGCCTGCTTTGAACAACAAAGCAGGTCTGCAAGGAGCCACAGGATGAGAGCTGATCAGAGTGTCCGCCAGAAAGACGGATACCTGCAGCTAAAAACAATTTGCCCAAGGGACAGTTCCTGCTTGACTTCTGACTACCTGTCTCCATTTGCAATAACTAGATAAAGAAATATGGAGCCACTGTATCTGTTTGGCCCTTCTGTTAAGTGATAGCATTATCTTAGAAGTTTGTCCTTGAAAGATTTTGTAACCAGAGTTAATTAAGGGATCTATAGAAGCCTTTTGAAAGACTTTTAACCTAAAACAAACTACCTGTTATTATGTAAATCTGTTACCTCTGGCAACCAATCTCTGTACCTATAAATACCCATGTGAAACTTTATTCTGGGCCTCACAATTGACAGGGATATTGTGGGGACCCATGCTTTGCTTTTTCTTTATATAAATCTATAAAACTATACCTTCATCTCTGTGTATTCTTTTATTTCTATTGTTTTCTTATCCTTGGCGACGACCCCTACCTAAGGGACCGGATTTTTTGCTGGGAGCGTAGCTAACTCCCCGCAAGGGTAGGCAACATTCTTACACTCTTTTGCATTCCCTAGTGTACCTTGACCTCTGCATCATATGTAACATTTAATCCAGCTGTTGACTAAACATTTTGAGAATCCAGCTCTGAAAATCACTTGCCCCAAGAGCTCTTCCCAGTTTCTTTCCCTTGCCCTGATCATCCTGTTGACTACGCTCTCCTGTGCTATTAATAGTTCCTCGTATACACTTCTATCATCGGACTTTTTACTGGGCATTACAATGATTCCTTTACTTGTCTGTCTTACCCTCTAAAGTCTTGGGGGCAGATATCATGGTAGATATTCCCCCTAGAACAGTGGCAAAGCACCCAGACTAGTTACTAGGAAACATCAGTTGAAAGTACGAACATCTTGGCCCTCGTTTTCTTGCACTACCATCAAGAGCTGAGTGGAGTTCTGCAAGCTGCACACTCTGAAATGACGTGAGAACAAGTGAATCAGTGCTCTCCTCTCCTTCCAGCCAAGCCTTAGGGACTCCTCTTCTTTGTTCCTCCCTTACATATTTTACTTATTCTTCTGTGGAGTGCCTGCCTAGTCTGTGTCCAGGGCTGTGGTAAAATAATCTGGCCGCAAGAAGCGTACACTTTGATGGAGACTGATAGAAGCCCATAGCTCTGATACAAGGTAGAATGTGATTCCTGACTTTTTAAGTGCTATAGAACTAAAACAAGACAAAAAAACCTGATGCATGGATAAATCTCAAAAACATTAAGCAGAGGCAAAGAAGTCAGACGTAAGAGTCTATTCTATTTATAGAAAGTTCTAGAATGAGGAAAATGGAGTGCACTGACAGGAACAACAGCAGTGGTTGCCTCTGGGGTTGGGAGAGTGACAGGACTCTCTAGGGTGACAGAAATAGTGTGTGTCTGGATAGCACGGTGGTTCTAAAGGTCAAAACAGGTTGTTTGTCACAACTCACAACACTTCAGATCCATGCACTTCACCATAAGAAAATGATACCTCAAAACCACCACCAAGTGCCGTGGAAACGAGAATTTCACTGCAGCTGACTGCATGTGGAGGGGGAGGGTGGCGCAGGCGAGGCAGGCGAGGCTCTGCGGGAGAGCGACAGGGGTGTGAGATGCTGCCTGAGGCGACATGTAAGCAGCAGGCACCCAGGCCCAGGACTGGACCTCAAGTCTCATCCTTTCCTTTGGGAAAACCTGTTCTGCTCTTCCCACCCGGAACACTTGTCTCTCCTGAGACTCCTTTCTCTTCTGACTGCTCCTGAGCAAGGGCGGACAGACTCAAGGCTTTCACAGAGGCAAGAATTGAAACCACCCAGACGGCTTTATTATTTTCCATACCACACACGGCACGAATACAGACCTCTGCTCTGCGCCCACCCCTCAGTCTGCTCACACGGCGTTCTGCCCGCATTCACCCCGGCACCGGCTCACTCTGCGCCGTGCACCCGCCGGTGCTGGATCAGATGAAAGCTCAGGCGGAACGCCTTGCCGCACTCCGTGCAGCGGAACGGCTTCTCGCCCGTGTGGATCCTCTGATGCCGGAAAAAGCCTGACAGGGCCCGGAAGGCGCGCCCGCAGTCGCTGCACTCGTAGGGCCTCTCCCCGGTGTGGATCCTGCGGTGCTCGCTGAGGAAGGAGCTGCGGCTGAAGGCGCGCCCGCAGTCGCTGCACTCGTAGGGCCTCTCCCCGGTGTGCACCCTCTGGTGCTGGATGAGGTTGGAGCTCTGGCTGAAGGCCTTCCCACACTCCTTACACTCGTAGGGATTCTCTCCGTGGTGGATTCTCTGGTGCCGAACAACGTTCGAACTGTGGATAAAGGTTTTCCCACATTCGCTACATTCGTACAGTCTCTCTCCAGTGTGAATTCTCTGATGCTTGATGGCATCTGACCTCTGGCTGAAGGACTTGCCACATTCGGTACACTCATAAGGTTTTTCTCCTGTGTGAATTCTCTGATGTCTAATAAGGTTGAAGCTCTGGCTGAAGGCTTTCCCACACTCCTTACAAACGTAAGGCTTCTCCCCGTTGTGGATCCTCTGGTGTCTGACGACATGCGAGCTGTGGATGAAGGCTTTCCCACAGTCACTGCACTCGAAGGGCTTCTCCCCAGAGTGGATGCTCTGATGTTTGACCACATCCGAATAGCACTTGAAGCTCCGGTCACAGGTGTTGCACTGATAGGGCCGCCCTTTCCAGTGGCCTCTTCCATCTGCCACAGAGCCTGTGTTCAGAGTGACGTCTGACTCGGGCACACCGTTCTCAGGGCCATTCTGCCCTTCAGTTTTCTCTCGAGTCACCAGGCACCAAGGGGCATCTCCGGGCCTCTCTCCAGCTTCCTCGTTTCCACCAAGGTCAAGAGCCCCCAGGGCTCTGTGAAGCCCCCATACTGGGCCTGGTGCAGCTTCTCCATGGTGCTCTCCTTCCGCAGCTTCCTGCTTTGGTGTCAACCCTGTGCTCCAAGCTGACTGCTCGACAGCTGAGGCAGCACACTCGGCGGCCTGTGCTAGAAGAGCAGTTTTCACAGCTGGAAAAGAGGTGAGATAGGTATAATTTTAGGCATGAGAAAACTCTATTACAACAGAAAGGCTGCGTGTGAATTTAAGAGGGCACAGTCAACAGAAGGAGGAGCAATGGCCACGAAGTCAGCATGTGGTGGCTGCCTGGCACTTTGCCTGTCTGGCTCCTGACTGGCTTCCCTCCCTGCTCTGAGGCCTGTGGTCACAGGCATGTGCGAGGGGCTGGAGGAGGGCAACCGGACTCCTTCACCGTGCCTCCAGAAACGGGCTAAGCCTTTAGCCTCTGCGTGCCTAGTACTGGGCGTGGAGGGGCCAGAAACACAGGCTCTGGCACTGCCTTATTCGCCAGCTGGCCAGGAATGCACAGGAGACTGGCAGCAAAACAGAACAAAAGGGAAGCAGATTTTCCAGGAGGCACAGGGACAGAAGCACCTGATGGTGTGTCCTGGTTCCAGCTTCTTTCTCTGACTTTGGATTCCCTGAAACAACACTGCATCCTTAACAACCCCCACAACCCACCAAACTCACAGGGCTTCTGATACGTGCAAATAAAGAGTCCTTACTTGGACAGAAGTTAGTACCAAGAGCTGTAAGCGGCATCCCATGAGGGGACTGTGGCGCTGACCAGGCTGGGGACCTCCCTGTCCAGGCTGAGCGCTGACGGCCCTTGTTATTGGGCAGTGAAGCAGCAGGTTAAATTCGGTCTCATTGGCTCACAGGGATGGACCACATGGCCACTTAGAAGCTTTAGGAAGGTGGTGGCAAAATATTGGAGTATAAGAATGCTGGCTGGTATCGCAGCCTTCATGAGAGACAGGGGCGATTAGTCAGGAGGTGGCACAGTGGAGGACAGGGACTGCCGAGGCAAGCAAGTTAGCACGCTGAGGGAAACTTTTCTGCCTACGATCACCTGCGGCAGCTGAACCGAAGCAGTTAAATTCTCCACTGTACCCCTCAAGAATTTAGACTGTGTAGATGTGAGAGATGCCCATGTGGGTGCGCTGGGGGCAGGGACACCACCCCAGGGTGGAGGAGAGCAGCAGGCTACCGCTGATGTTTCCCACCTACAGCCCAGCACAGTGTTCAACTGAGCAGCAGGTGGTGGGAGAGGCCTCAGTGTGGTGCTCAGAACAAAAGCCCCTTTGCGGAAGCCCAAGCCTGGTCTTATGGTTTGGCAGATTTGGAGGTTCAAGAAACTGACTCAAAGGCCTTCAAAATCACAGTGAGAGGAGGGCCACACACAACTGCTCATGCTCTCCTAGATCAAGCCTTCAGGTCCTGAGGACTATGTCCCTCCTGAGGCGATCCCAAGTACCAACGGGCAGCCCTGCACTGCCCAGCCCTGCACCAGGGGCTCTTCCCAGTGACAAACTTTCATGGTGACCCCAAAGGGCCCCAAAACAATGTTCTCTTGGGGGCATTTCCCCCCCTTAAGGGCACATTTGACAATGTCTGGAGACACTTCAGGCTGTCACAACTGGCAGTGGCGCTACTGGCATCTAGTGGGCAGAGGCCAAGGATGCTGCTGAACACCCCACAGTGCACGGGGCAGCCCCTCAGCAAAGACTCATGCGCCCCAAATGTCCATGGTGCTGAGCTTGAGAAACCCTGACAGAGAAATCTTCCCAGAGGCAGAACCTGGGGCTGCCAGACCTTCTACCCAAGAAACTCAGTCCAGTGTCACCGAACAGATGCCCATGAGGTCTGACAGATCCACTGTTTACCTGACTCCCTCGACCTGCTTCGCAAGGCACAGTACGTGCTCTGCAGTGGCAGCCAAGGTGTGTTCTCCCCATACTCCCTTTCAGATTGGGTGGTTTTATTGTGATTAACCTATTGCTACCACTCTATCTTGGCACTTGCCAGAATTACATTCAGCCCAAAGCTGCAGGGCTGTGAAGAGCACCATCTGGACTGGACCTGAACATGATTGGAAAACAAGGGAGAGGCATAGCCAGGAAGCTGGGTTTGAAGAGCAGCCCCTTGACGCCTCTGGGCTGTTCCCTCCTCGTCACCCCCTCGTCCCGGGATGGGTGTCTGTGCATGGACACAGGGGTTTCTCTGACCCCACGGGAGACTCAGGCATAGGTGTGTTGAGGTGTGTGAATAATCTGGGCAGCCACAGTGACACTGTCCCCAGGCTCCCACTGCTGAACAAGAATCATCACATAGAGTATGAGTGTAAAAAAGCTGCAAACAGCGCACATTTCTCTGCTACAGGAAGATGGCATTTTGTTAGTACTAGTTATATAAAAATATGATAATACCACCATACCAAGTTAAAGTATGAGCCTGCAGCTTTGACAACCCTCAAGTGTGGCCTTAAATCATCAGAACAGAGGGAGCCTGGAGCCTGAGAGGGCAAATGGCCCAAAGACGGGAGGCTAGCCAGGACCTCTCATAACACTGGTCACCTCCTCTGAGCCTAGGCCAGCCGACACTGCTGGACTCTGGACAAACAAGGCTAAGTATCAATACACTCACCTTTACAAGTCTTCAGGCTAGTAGGTGGGGGACCAAAGGAAGAGAGCAAGAGGCATAGTGTGTGGCCAGGAGAGCACCTGGCACAGGTGGCAGGGATGCAGCAGGAAGAGGGAGGACCAGTGGGCAGCAGGAGAGGTGCAGCAGGCTGTGGCTGGGGAGAGGCTGGGGGTGGGGCCATGCCCCTCAGCCCAGCTACATCCCTGTAGCAACCAGGCAGATGGACTTGGGGAAGCCCAAATTTCTATGCTGTCCCCACCTCCCTAAACCCAGGAAGGTCCTTTCCCAATGCCTTTGGGCCCAACTGTGAATGTGTCCCCTCACCTGTGGGGGTCTCCATCAGGGTATCCCTCTCCTGTGTCTACAGACCAGGCCTGTGGACTCTACTCCTCACTCCACCTTGCAGAACACCAGCAGTGGGAACAATTTCTGCTTCGGTAAAAGAGAAGAAAAGGGAAAAAAATGATGGTGAGGGCTAGGAAGAGGGAAAGTACGGGGTGAGGTCAGAATGCCTTTAGACAATGGGCCTTGGAGGACCCTTAGGGAACTGCCTCTCCCAGCTGGGCCCACTTCTGTCACCAGCAATCAAGAAGATCCTGACTAAACAGACACTTCCAGAAACTGGTGTTCTATGGGATACCCCAGGCTCTGCTGCCCCCACAACCCTGGCCCCAGCAGATGCAGAGCACAGATGGACTCGGCCTCCTCCGCAAGCTGCCTGCTGTGGGCTTCTCAGCTCCACACCAAACATACCCAGCACCCTCAGTCCTCAAATGTCTAGACAAATATTCATGAATTTTTAAATTTTCTTGATAATTATAAGGATTTGGATATAAAAATTAGAAACCACAAAAAAAAAAAAAAGAACAAATGATTTGAATGGTGCAAGTTAGGATTGAGGAATTATTTTTCCAAGCCTGACATCAAAGGTAAAGCCTGACAGATTTAACTACGTAAGAAAATTTAACATAAAAAAACAAAAACAAAAAAGGAGAATACTTGCAACATAAAGATTCAGACCCTCGGCTGGGCGTGGTGGCTCACGCCTGTAATCCTAGCACTCTGGGAGGCCGAGGCGGGAGGACCGCTTGAGTTGAAGTTTGAGGGTGCTGTGAGCTAGGCTGGTGCCATGGCACTCTAGCCTGGGCAACAGAATGAGACTCTGTCTCAAAACAAACAAACAAAACTGCATTATAAATAAAACAACAACAACAAAAAAGATTCAGACCCTTAATTGATAAAGACCTCTACATGTTAATGAGAAAGTATGAAAAATTGCCAAAGATCATCAACAGGTAACTCAAAAGAAGAACAAGACATGTAATCTAAAATACCATTTTTTACTCTGAAAGTAGATTTTTTTAAACGGCTATACCTACCTGGCAGGGATTGGGGTTAAGAGGCGCTGCCGCTCTTGGCTGGAGAGAAGCCCCCCGCCCGCCGGTCACAGGGGCCCGCAAACGAAAGGCGGCTGAGCGGGCCGTCTCCTCTCCAGCCGCTCGCAGCAGCAACCCGCCGCCAGGAGAGGACCGGGGCGGACGCCACACAGCAGACGCCGCAAAGACGCCTCGTCCAGGTCACACTCGCTGCTGCCTGGCCACCCGCTCACCAGTCCCGGCGCGCCGGAAGCGCCGCCGACCCGGCCCCCGCGGCGCGGGCACTTCCGGCGACGCTCTGGGCCGGGGGAGGATTGCGCGCTCGGCTGCCCGAGGGGCGGGCCGGCTCGCTGGCAGGTCCGTGGCTTACATGGGTCTCGCGCCGGGGAGGCGGTGCCCGTGGACCACAAAAGCTCACGCCGTTGTGAACCCCGCAGGAAGGCGGGGATCCTCCGGGGCCCGAGGACGCTGAGGTGTGGACGGGGCCTTCCGCGGGCACTGCGTCCTGCGGCTTCTCTGCGGAGAGGATGCTCTGGCGTTTCGCCACGGCCAAGAAACCTGGGCTGCACCTGTTGCGGACGCTGCGTCGCGGCGAGTGTTTTCTCACCTCTAGGTCTCTCCTCGAGCCCCTCATTCGTAGCCCAGGGAGCTCCTGGAAACAGCCCTGACGGTCCTCAACAAGCTTTCCCTTCTCTGGAAGTCTCTTGCTCTGGCGTCTGCCCTGCCGCCTGCGCCTTCCTCAAGCTCCTTCCTTCCCCTCGTCACTGGACAGGTTCGTGTATCTCCAGCGGGAACACTGCAAAGCGAGGTGTCATCGGGGTATCACATTTGGAGGTGCCTGGTGTCCGTCGGCTCTTCGCTGGCCAGTGATAATTTTGATCCTGTGGTCACAGTGTTGCCTGTTTTTTCCACTGTGTGCTTGCTGTTTTTCCCCTTGTAACGAATAGACCATCTCTGAGGGGAAAAGGAAGGCGAAAGAACCGACCCACAGTAAGGAATCCTGAGGGGACTTGGCACAGAAGGCAGGATATGCTCCTGGGACCGGATCCATGCCCGGAGGGAACAATGCCACGGAGGACACTAGTGGGAGAAGACGGACTGGAGTTGGGGTGTTGGTAAGGCATTGTCTTGCCGTTCTAGTACCCGAATTTGATAACTGCACTGTTTTGTGCTAGATTATCCTTGAGCACAGGACATACACACTCAAGTATTGTGGGACCAAGGAACATATGTATACAAACCATTCTAAAAAGATTAGGAAAAAAATTGGTATAGATTTTAAAAATTAATGTGAACAGGAACAGTTTGACTTCCTATTGAAAAAAATTGAGTGTATTTCTTCCATTCGGTGTGAAACTAGTGTGACTTCTTCCTTCTTTCTACTCTTCTCCATTTTCCAAATTTTCTACCATATACTCTGCTTATACAATAGGAAAAATGAGTTTTGTCGAAAGTTTTATTAATAATGTGAAGTCCTGACAAACACAAGTAAAATAAGATATTTATAAGCTTGTAAACGTATGGGGAAAGGCCGTTTCATTTAGACCCATAACAGATTATAAATCGAATGCAAGTATGTTCTCAGGTGACCCAGCCTCAGTGATTACCAGTCTCAGTGATTGCCAGTCAACTAAGATGGCAAGTGACCCTCCTCTTCACAGGCTCCCATTTCCCAGTTTGCTATCACAGAATGTGTTGCTTTGGATGTCCAGCTGTCGCTCATTCACATTGGATCTGTGCTGGCTTTGCTTTTCCAACAGGTTTGGGATGCATTTGAGGGGACCTGTTGTTTGGCTCTGCTCAGGACCCCTCCTCATGCAATCTGTTAACAGCACCCCTTTCCAACTGGGGTGGGAAAGGCCCCTCCACCTCTGTTCCCACCAGATCATTCTGCAACTCTAGCCCCCACAGGATGGGTTGTGGCCCAGTCTTTCTAGGGCTTTTCCCAGAAGCTGAAAGTGAAAATCGTCAAGATCCTCTGCAGCCCTGGGCTGAGACAGTGTCAGGACAAGGCTAGTCAACAGCGGAGACTGAGGCCACACACAGCCTTTGCAGAGATGAGAGGCGGGAACTGACAGAGAGACCAGGTGGCCTCTGGCAGAGCTAAACACCAGCACATATCTTGGTGGAGCTATTCAAAGTCAGGGATGAGGAAAGAATGATTAGGGTATCCAGGCTGAAGAGGCACATTCCAGAGGAAGGGCAGAGGTCATGGGCTTCCCCATGGTGAGGTCAGGGTCAGGCTCAGCAGAGTTTTGCAAGGAAAAAAACCCAAATCCAAAACCACATGCCCCAGGAACTTGACACCCACCCAAGCTGTTCTTCAAGTGTAAAGCAGTGGAGAGCATCCCAGAACTTAAGATGTAGCATCCTCCCGCTCTGTCGCTATGGAACACTCTCCCCAGGCAGGAGCTGGGCCCAGGGTCTCACTGGGCTGGATACTCTGCCCTGTGAACGAGGAGGCGCCTTATCCCGCAGGGCTGTTTGAGGGTCAGCACCTCGCAGAAGTGCTGCCCATGCCCCGGTGAGGCACACCTGGGATTGGGTGCTGGCACCAGCAGGTACTGCCATAGTAGTGGGCAAGTGACTCTGCCTGCCTGAGACCCAAGAGAGGGCTGGAAATCACCTGGGACAAATTAGAAGCCCACGAGTTCCCATCCTCTGCACACTTCTGGACAAATGTCTCCCTCTTCCTCCCCTGCACTGTGGGGGACTGTCTGGCTCGAGCTCTCGATTCTGGCCCATTAACACCCGCACGCTCCTGAGGCGCAGAATAAACTGTGGCCTTCGGAATTTATCCTGTGAATAACGCTCGGGTGCATGAGGCCGCCCCGCCCTCCAGATCCACCTGACAGGTTTTCGACTCTCGGGTCCACACCCGCGGGCCGCACAGCCCCGCAGCGCCCGGCCGGCTCTGCAAACGTGCGTGGCTTGGCCATGCTACGCTTCCCCGCTAGGGGCGCCAGAGGAAGGGACGAGGATGGGGCGGAGGGAGGGATGTGCTCCTTCTGGCCGGCTTCCGGTTTCTGCCCGCAGCTTCCGGTCCGCCCACGTCTCATCCGGGCGCCGCTGTGCACAGCTGGGGAAGTGTCGGTGCGCGTCCGCGTCTTCGCAGAACCGGCTTTATCGCGCCCCCGCGGGGGCCCCAGACCCCCGCCGGCGACGACCCCTCCGCGGGGAGGGGTCCCAGCCCTTGGGACCGATAATTCCAATCTCTTCCCTTTGTTTCCGCAGCTGCAGGGTGGCAGTTGCTCCCTGCGGTGCTCCCTCAGAGGTGCCTTAGGGTTCTCTTTGTGCCTTTTCGGTTACCGAGTTAGCCAGCTTATACGTAGTTAACAATCCATTCAGTTCTCTCTGTTGAAATAACTGGTGCGGCTTCTGCCTCCTGACTGGATCCTGACTAAGTGCCCTCCGCCGTTCCTCGCATACTTGCCCAGTCCTCCGGGGTCCTCTCTGGCGCTCTCAGCATCGCCCTGCGGTGTCTCTCCGTCCCCTCCTTTGGACTTTGACCTTCTGTTCAGGCCCTTTCTCCCAGTCAGAAGTAAGGACTGAAAAAAGGTGAGTTGCTCTAGACATCTTGGAAGGAATACTGGAGTGAGAAGAAGTCATTAATTGCACGTGTATTCGTCCCCAGCTAACCATGACGTAGGCCCCGTGCTAGGTGCTGGGATGAAGCAGTGACAGACCTGGACCTGTCCTTGTGAGTATTTGTGTGTGTGTAGCAGAGAGACCTTGCCACATGATGGAGTAAAGCACGTGGGACAACAGAGAGCCATGTTTGGCATTAAAGTAATATCGTGAATCTATTAAGCATGCAAAAACAAGTGAACGTGTTGGAAAGTTGTGGGGATTTTAAAAGTATCATAGATAGGGGCCTTGCCAATTGGGTCTCCCGCTCTAGAGAGTAACCAGCACTGTGCTGTGGTGTTTCTGGAGAAAATTAACATTTGAATTTATGGCTGTGTGAAGCTGAGTGCCCTCCATAATGTGAGTGGGCCACATCCAGTCAGTTAAAAGCCTGAGCAGGAAACTTCTGCCTGACCGTTTGAACTGGGACATGTCTTTTCTTGCCTTCAAACTCAAACTGAAACATCAGTTCTTGGCTCTCAAGTCTGCTGGCTTTCAGACTGGAACTTACACCGTTGGCTCTGCTGCCTCCAGCTCTGCCTCTAGAGATTGCTCAGTCTCGTAATCATGTGAGCCAGTTCCTTATATTCTCTTTTCTCTCCCCACTTCCCACATACTCTGTATTAGTTCTGTTTCTCTGGAGAACCCAATACATCACTTGACTAATTAGGAAACAGATTCAGAGAGATTAATAACTCATCCAACCTCACAGTTAAGCGTGGAGTTGAGCTTTAAATTCCAAAGTTGATTTAAATTTATGTAAAAATAAAAACCCTTTGTGTCCAACTGAGAAGTCTCCAAGCTGAAGCTCATTTTGGTCCTTTATTCGCTAATCCACACGCTTGTGCAGCCCGCTCCATGCCCTCCACACAAAGCCCAAACCTGAGACTGGGTCAGCTCTCAGCGCTCCCTTCCCTTGGCTGGGGCTCCTGCAAGCTGCTCGGAGGGCCCCTTTTTTGCAGGTCCAGTGCTTTGGAGTTCAGCGCCCCTCTAGGGCATTTCCTTCTGGGGCCCAAAGCAGACACTGTGCCAGACACAAAGGATCACTTTCTGGGTTCTGAAACTCACAACCCCGCTCCTGGTTCCTTGCCAGATCCTCTTGATGGTCCCTCACATTCGCTGTGGCCAACCAGGGCCTCAGGTGGCAGCCTGCTATGATTGTCCACTTATACTGTCCCTGGGTGTTGACAGAACCATTCTGGGAGCCCTTTTTATGGGGATTTGTGCCGGGCAGTGCGCAAAGAACTTGACACCCGACCTCCATATGCAGTGCCAGAAGGGCTGTGCTAGCTCCATTTTCAGAGGTGGAAACGGGTTCCGTGCGGGGGCTGGAATCAGCACTGATAGATCCCAAACCTGGGCTCCTGGAAACCATCGCGTTCTGGTTGCTTTGTGTAAGAGGGAGAGGCTGAAGGCCGAGAGCCACAGCTCAGGAACTGTGTCGGAGGGAGGGGAGGCTTGGTGTGAGGTCGGTGTGCCCTGGGCTCAGACATTGGCCGAGAAACCTCTGGATGGCGCTGCGCACAGGTTAGGTTCAGAGAACGCAGAGGCAGCAGCGCTGGAACGAGGCCTCAGGAACCAGCCCTGGGGCCGGCAGCCGGGACAGGGTGCCCTGGGCGACGCAAACTACCGAGGGAGACCGGAGCGCAGCATGGAGTCGTCGGCGGCACCCAGGCGTCCCAGGAGGGCTCAGGGAGTGATGATGCCGTGTCCCGTTCAGCAAGGTGCAAATGAACCTGCTGGGCACAAGGTAGAGAAAATGCCCTTAAAAGGTCACATCTGGGTCCTGCCGGGCCGCTCTCGGTTCCCGGCAAATGCTGAGTGGATCAGATGGAACATTCGAGAACCAGTCCATTGCCCGCGTGCTTGGAGAGGGAGCCAAGGACACCAGGGGAGACGCAAGTACCATTTCAGCTCATCTTGGCTGGCCCTGGCCAACAAGGGAGGACAATGACTTTGCTGAGGGTGTACGAGGTGGTGCGGAGGAGCTGCCCTGGCTCACGGCACCGCGCCACGCCCCCCCTCCGGGAACTCTTCCGCACCCGCGGCTCCAGGGTCTGGTGTGGGCCGCAGAGGGGTCGCCTGGCCCCGCCCCTCAAGGCACCTGGGCCACTTCTGGAACAGTCCAGGACCGCGGGGCACGCACAGGGCCGTCCCTGCAGAGCTGGCCCCTCCGTCTGGCTGCCCAAGGGCTGAAGCCTCAAGCTACACACTTGAGGTGAAGGGAAGGTGGGCATACGTTTTTACCCCCACCTTTCAGGCCAAAGAGTCCAAACCCCAAGCCAAGGCCCACCAGGCAGCAGGGAAGAGCACTAGAGGACGCCCCGCCCCCACAGCTGTGTCCAGCCGTGTGCGCCGAGCTCAGGATGAGGAATCGCGGCCTGCTGTTTCAGCAGGGGCCTGGGTGGCCCAGGTGGATGGCTGGTCAGGGAGCCCTGGAGTTGGTCTGGTCTGTCACTGCCCCTGTGACCTTGAGCAAGCCATGGGACACCTTGGACTCTCCACGTTCTCTGGAAAATGGGCTTGCTGGGGGCGGATGACATGAGATGTGGATAGTGCAGGCACCTGCAGACACTACTGCAAAGTGAGGCCACTAGCCTGTCTTCAACAGGATAAACGACCTGCTACAGTACAGGTACATCTGAGTCACAGCAGGAGAGGAGGGACTGGGGGCGGTGAGACCTGGAGAGGTACAGCCTCCAGAGGGGCGGGGTGACTAGTTGAGGTGGGGTGGGCTACCCCACCCGTTCCAGAATGTGCAGGTGGGGCAGGGAGAAAGTGCCGTTACACTCACTCCTTGTTAACACTCAGGGCCACCACCCCCAGCTGAGTTTGTTCCTTACCACACGGGGCTGGAAGTCCCCGAGCTGGACCGAGACTGCCCTGCCAAGGAGAGGAGCCACAGCAGATTGGCAGATGGCCACGGCCCTGACCCAGCTGTAGCAGCCTGCACCTGTCAAGACCTGTGTCCCACCCTGCCCCAATTTCCCAGAGCAGGAAGTGGCTTTGAAGGCCTGGCAGGGAAAGGTGGGCAGGAAGCACCTCCTATGGAAGCCTGCAGGCCGGGGGCCATAGCTGCATGCAAAGGCAAGGAGTGAGAGCTGTGCGTGGAGAACATGCCACATTTAGAATGCACTAGAATCAGGAACCTTCAAAATATTTAAGGGAACTGAACTGCCAAAGAAATCCCACGCCCAGGGGAGAGGACAGGCAGCCTGGCCAGGCCTGCATTGTGCATCCACCTCTAGGCAAACCAGCACTGTCCTTGTCCTCCCTGCTTTGGGTTTCTGTCTTGGGGTGTCAGCATTAGGCAAGCCTGACTCTGGGTAAGTCCAGGCCTCAGGCCCCTCGGGACAACGCGGCACCACGTGGCAGGTCTCAGTGGAGCGGCCCTGTCACTTTTTTCCGGAGCAGGCCCTCAGGGACAGGGAGCAGCTGGAGGCCTCCCCTAGGTAGGAGCCGGTTCGCATGTCCATCGTCAAAAAGAATTTATTGGGGACACTCGGGGGGGGGGCGGTCAGGAGGGGAGGCAGGAGCCCCGCCCTGGAACCTCCCTAGGCCCAGCGGGCCCCAGCCGACCAGTCCCCCCCGTGGCTACTCGCGGTAGTGCACCCTCTGGTGCTGGATGAGCTGGGAGCTCTGGCCGAAAGCCTTGCCGCAGATGCCGCAGGCGAAGGGCTTCTCGCCCGTGTGGGTCCGCAGGTGCCGGAAGAAGTGCGAGCGGCCACGGAAGGCCTTGCCGCAGTCGGCGCACTCGTAGGGCTTCTCGCCCGTGTGGATGCGCTGGTGCTCGATGAGCACGGAGCTCCAGATGAAGGCCTTGCCGCACTGGCTGCAGGCGTAGGGCTTCTCGCCCGTGTGCAGCCGCTGGTGGCGCACCAGGTTGGAGCTCTGGCTGAAGGCCTGGCCGCACTCGCCGCACTTGTAGGGCTTCTCGCCGTTGTGGATGCGCAGGTGCTGCGTGAAGTGCGAGCTGTGGCTGAAGGCGCGGCCGCACTGGCCGCATTCGTACGGCTTCTCGCCCGTGTGGATGCGGTGGTGCTGGATGAAGCCCGACCAGCCGCGGAAGCGCTTGCCGCACTCGTGGCAGGCGTAGGGCTTCTCGCCCGTGTGGATGCGCTGGTGCTTCAGCAGCAGCGAGTTGTACTTGAAGCTCTTGCCACAGGCCTCGCACCGGTGCGGCTTGGACCCCCGCTGGCTGCCCTGCCGCGTCCCGAGGCCCGTGCCCAAGCCAAAGCCGCCCCCCAGCTCGGCAGCCCGCTCCGGCCCACCCTCGACCCCAGGGGTGTCCTGCGACCCCAGCGTCAAGCACCAGGCGCCCCTCTTCTGGGCGCAGGGGATGGCCCCTGGCGGCTGCCGCTCCAAGCTGGACTCCTGCCCAAGGCTTGGACACTTGGCTCCAGGGGGAAGGCTCCTCAGGAGGCCCCGCAGCGCGCCCCCATCCTGGCCCACCCCATCTGCAGGCACATGCAGGCGGTGCAGGCGGGGAGACGCAGCCTGCTCCCGCTGGGACTTGGAATCTGAAATGAGAAAGGGCAGAGGCAGATAGAGCCGGCCCATGCCTCTGTCCACCTGGCAAGCTCCTGCTGTGGCACTAGAGGGGACGGGGACCAGGGAGGCTCAGAGAGGAGGGAGGAAACGAGCACTGGCTCCACGAGAGAGAACCCAGGCAGGGGCTCTGGGTGTTGGCCAGAGGGCTGTCCTAAGGATGGGGGTAGGGGGGCTGCAGGGTGATTGAGAGCTGCCAGGACCACTCAGTCATCTTGGTGGCCTGAGCCCGGGTATGGAGGCTGCAGTGGCTAATGAGACCCGTGACCTGGGAAGGAGGTGCCAAGGTGGACACTGAGTGCCACTGAGCCTGGAACTTGGAGGACTCTAGAAAGTGGTCCTATACCTGAGAGGCTGGGGAGAGGGATGGCCCCAGGGCCACGGATGGAGGACAAGTGACACGCCAGGGCTCAGAGAGAAGCGAAGCCACCCTGTTCCAAAGGACTCTGTAGGGCTGCCCAGACCCCATCAGGAGCAGTCCCGTCCCTGGAGCAAGGCCAGCTGCTGAACCCCAAGTTCTGCCCTTGCCTGAGGGTGGAGTCCCAAAGGGCCCATGCCTGCTCCAGACCTTTTTTTTCATGGGGCTGGCTCAGGCCTGGGTGGCAACTGCCCTGCTGCTCACCCCCCTGGCCCACTCTGGGACCTTCTTGCACAAATCTCTGCTGCAGGGTCCGCTTCCCAGGGACCTGACGCCAGATACCTGTTCCCCAGGACCACGCAGGTGTGGGCAGAGAGCTCAGAGCCATGAAATCCAGCTGGTATCACCAATGCCACAAAATGCTGACCATGTGCTGGGCTGGAGACCCCGAGGAGGTGTCCCAAGGACTTCTCACGGGGTGGTAATGGGGGTCGGGATTAACACAGCTCAGCCTAGAGCTCCACACAGGGGACAGATGGCAGTCCCAGGGCACACACAGGGGAAAAGGAGGGGGCCCAGGATGACTCCTCAGTTGGTTGGGGGGGACAGTGGCGCCCTGAGTCAGAGACCCCAGCCCAAGGCAGGGGGAGGGGAAGGAAAGGAGTCTGCTTTCTCGTGTTCAGAGTGGACCTGCAGGAATCCACAGGGGGCCACTGGGGCAGGTGGCCACGGGGGTTTGAGTCCACAGGAGGGGTCTAGGCTGCAGTCACAGCCTTGGGAAGTGTAACAAGGCTGGGACTAGAATGGGGGAGGGGGCTGGAGCCAGACACTAGAAGGGACCCCAGGCAGGGGTGCCTACGGTGGTGGGTGTTGACAGAGCCTGGCACTGCAAGGAGCTCCAGCCCCCAGTAACCCCTGGGAGCAGCCTGAGGCCGTTGGGGGACGCTTCTGCTCACTCACCAGGCCAGAAGGTGTCTCTGCCGATCTCAACTTCCTCTATGTCTTGGAGATCCAGGTCCGATGGCTGGGAGAGCACCTCAGGGCTGGAGCTGGGGGAGCCTGGGGGGCAGGGAGGGCATGGCTCACCTCTCACTCTCCAATGCTGCCTCCCTTGCCTCTCTAGAACCACATGGGCTGGCAGCCGTGTGCCCCAACACACATCTTTGCCCTCCATGCCGCCCCTAACAGCAGGCCAGCCTGAGATGGTGCCACTGCTTATGGCTTCTCCGGCCAGGAACACCCTTTAACTTCATTCCTAGCCTGGTCAAGACCCCGCACCTCCAGGAAGCCTTCCTGAAGTGCATTTTGGGAGCTCACCCCCTTTAATCCAGTAAGCAGAGACAAAACCAGCAGCCCTCCTGCTCACCCAGGGTGGCTCTGGCATCTTGGCTGACTCTGGCTCGACCTTTCCACCCTGTCATGGCTCATGCTGCTCTGGACAGGCCCTGACCATGAAGCCCCTTAGGGTCACATGCAGGCAGGTAACAGTGTGGGTCACTGTCACTCTGCAGCCTAAGCCCCGGCTCCCTATACCTGTCCCCACACCTGGATGTTGTTTCTGCAGAGCTCGATCAATTGCCATCTCTGCTGGCCTGTGCCTGGGCTGGGCCAGTGCCTGCTAGGTGCACAGCCTGCCTCTGCCCCAGCCCCTGCCACCCTGCAGGCTCTCACACTGGAGTGCTGGTGCCTCACAAAGTCTCCCTCTCTCTGCCTGTGGCTTTGCTGTCCCTCCTAGGCTCCCCACTGCCTGACCCAGTCCCAGGACCCTGCCCACAAAGGGGAGAGCCCCTGACCAGCACCCAGAACAGGTGGAAGCGGCCACTTCCAACATGCCCCAAAGCCCCAGGCTCCCTCCTGCTGGCCAAGTCCACACCAAGGTCCACTGCAGGGCTGATGCTGGCTGCTCCAGCTGTGGAGGGGACCTGCTCCTCCACCTTCTTCAGCGCAGAGAAGAGGGGATGGGCTGGGCCCACTGGTCAGCTCATCACCCCCAGGACGTTCTAGTGCAGGTGCCCATGGCCAAGAAGGTACAGGAAGTCTCCCAGCACATCATGTTAGTGTTAACGGAGCATGACCACAGCAGGGAAGATGCAGGGACACACTGCTCCCGAGCAGGGCCCTCAGTGTTCCCAGGGAGGGGCACTGTCCCAGGCTCTGCTGCCTGAGGCCAGTCATCAGCTCACCCCTCTCTGCTGCAGGGTGTGTGTGTGCGTCTGACCCATGTCCTCAGTGCTCCCCAACCCACAGTGCCTCCTCTGCCCTCTGACCACAGCATGAAGGGCAGCTTGGGCCTGGAGGCTGTGAGCCTGAGGGCAGGCGCCTCCTTTGGCCAAGGCTGGGTGCCCCCAGTGTCACATGGAGCCAATGGAGAGGGGGGCACAGGGTCTGGACCCCATCCCACTATGACAGCGCCTGCCTGTGAGCCTTTCAGGGAACTCTCCGACCTCAAGCAGGCGCTGCCCTGGCGGCGTGTTTTACGAATGAGGGAGACGGCCTCTGAGGGTGGGGTATGGGCTGCCTCGTGTGGGGTGGGGCCTGTGCTGTTGGCTTCCTGTGCCCATTGGCCACATGCACACCCAACACACCCACCTGCCCCCTTTGGAGTCCCTCTGTGGAGCAGGGGAGCCGGTGGCTGTGTGGCAGGGGAGGGGCCCTAGCCTGTTTCGGGTGGTTCCCCTCCACAGAGCCATGAAGGGCTGGGAAGTTTGGGGGTGGGTGCAGCCGTGGGATACCCCTTTCCTGAGAGCAGAGGGGTCCCTAGGAATTGCATGGCTGCCCTGAAGCAAGATAGAGGGGTCCTAAACCCAAAGCCACGTTTGGGCCTTCCAGGTGCCCTCTCCAATGTGGGGACAGGCTGGGAGCACTAGCCTCCCTGGGCTGCGACCCTCACACCCTACTCATGGCCACCATGTCACCATCGCCTGGCAGCCAGGGGAGCTAGCTCATTCCATGGATGGCCGAATGCAAGGCAGGCTTCCCCCGACGTACTCCTGCAGAGGGGTGGGTGAGAGTGGGCCTCCCAAAGCCACCTCTCAGGGACACTTGTGCCCACACTAGATACAGACACCCTTGCCTAGGCTGGATGTTGCCAGAGGGGACTTAGCAGGACTCTGAGATAGAAAGTGGCCCAGACCCTGGCCTCCGGCTTTGTTCCTGGGGCCCTGACATGTACAGTCAGGATGTCACTGTAAGAGGCACAGTGATATCACCAACACAACCCAGGGCACAAAACAAGCCAAAGCCGCTGCCACCTGTAGGGGTGCTTAGAGACACCCTTGGAAGTGCTTTGAAGCCATGGGATTAAAGGACACTGGACAGCTGTGACCAGCCTCCACCTTGTTGCGGGAGGGACTGGAGCAAGCACGAGCTGACCCAGTAGAGCCCCTGGGTCCCTGAGAGTTTAGCCCCTTAAACTGGACACAGCACACCCAAGGCCCTTCTCCAGGAGAAGATGGGGATCGCCTTAGGGTTGGGTGCAGGCAGGTCAGAGCATGGGTCACTGTCACTCTGCTGCCTAAGCCCTGGCTCCCAGCACCTGCCCCCACACCCGGATGTTTCTGCAGAGCTCGCCATCAACCACCATCGCTGCCTGGGCTGGGCCAGTCCCCGCTATGTACACAGCCTGCCCCTGCCCCACCCTCGGTTCATTGACTCCCCCACCTGGCGAGCTCAGTGCTGCGCTCCCCACCATGCTGGGAGACAACTGGAGAAACACCAGGCTGCCCACTTGCTGGGGGCTGTCCAGGTGGAAGGCAAGGAGGCTGTGCATGCTCAGCTTTCCAGGGGACTGGAAGGAGGTGGCAGTTCTCTGGCTAGAAGGGGCTTTTCTTACATGTAAAATGGTGCAGCAAGTGCTGTGTGCCTGGCCATGGCCCAGGGTGAGGAAGAGGGGGCGGCTGGCTGGGGGCAGCCAGTGGGCACCTAGAGTGCATGTCTCAGGCGCCCCATCTGGAAAGATGGGGTAGGCACTGCCACAGGCCCCCTCCCCGCCAGCCTAGGCACTTGTAAGTGCACCCAGGGCCACAGGCCCTCAGGGTCCCAGCCCTCCTCCATTGCTTCCTCTGGCCCACGGACTGCCCTCCGCCTGCAGGAGTCCTGACCAAACCTTCCAGAACTTGCTCTGGCAGTGCTGGCTCTGGTGGGCACAATGCAGTCCCTTAGGAGCTGTGCCAGGCCCCTCAGAGAGGTCCTGCCCCACCTGTACCCCACCTGCCCAGCCTCCCTGCTCAGAGAGGCTCAGGCTAGGCCAGTGTGTGGCCTCTGGTGCTCTGGCTCATGACCCAGCTACATGCCCACAGGGATGCCGCAGACCCCCTCTGCCGGTGCTGTGCCCTCCCCTCTGCTCCCCACTGACAAATGGCTCCTCCCAAGGACATCCTCTGTTCCCCAATGCCTCGTAGCCAGGTGCACAGCACTGTGCCCAGACAGGGAGGCTCCTGAAATGACCAGGCATGTGGGGTGGGCTTGGGAGATTGCTGGGCCCCTAAGGTGGGTGAGAGAGACCCAGGCGTTCCAAGGCGGGTCCCTGGAACCTCTTCTTGGTCTCAGATTCTGGTCTAGGACTTGGGGCTCCAAGAAGTCCTGGCTTGGCCCCTGACTGGCATGAAAGCCCTGGGCAGGTTCCAGAAATGCTGAGGTCCCTGCCTCTGCCCCTTTGTGGTACCTGGGAGGGCCTACCCTATGGGCCCTGCCCCGCTGCAGGACCACCATCTCTTGTCCTCACAGCTGTTCTTTATGGCCACCCTGGTTTGTGTCCCTGCATTCCGACTCTGGCACAGCACAGAGAGGCCTGAAGCTGCTGGTGTAGCCCACACTCCCTCCATGGGCAAAGCTCCTGGGGTTTTAGGGCACTGGGACATGGTTCCAGTGTCCAAGAGGCACGCACGGGCTGGCTTCCAGGCCTCTGGAGCAGGGCCCCAAGCCTGGCCTCCCATGCTGTGGCTGCTCATGGCTGGTGGAGACAGGGCCAGGGGAAGCCCAACCCTGCACCCCCAGGCCCACCCTCCATCCTGGGCACTGGCCTTCTGCAGAACCCACTCTGTCAGCCTCGTCAGCCTGTGTCCCCTGATGCCCCCAGATGATCTGCCAGCCTGCCCACCTCCCCCAAATACTGGCCCCGCGTGAGGAGCCACACTTCAGGGCCTCAGAGGAATCAAGGGCATGGGCTCGAGTCAGACCAATGTGGAATGGATTCTGCTGGCCTCATGGCCTCTTCTCTCGGTTTCTATGTCCCCATCAGTAATAGGACAGGAGGGCCTACCTCACCTGGAGATAATCCACACAGAGCCTGACACCCAGCGCAGCCGGTCTCGACAATCCTCAGCAGTCACTACATCATCCACTGTGAAGCCAAGACCCACCAAGAGTGAGGACCCTGGGCAAAGGGTGGGACTGAGGCTGGGCACTGACTTGCCAGGCTTGTCCCACATGGAACCTGGCCCACACCAGCATCCTAACCTTGAGGGTGGTGAGGCCAGGCATCCTTGGGATATGCAGCAGAGAAAGAACCTCAGGACCCCCTGACCTCTGAGGGGGAGCAGGGCCCAGGAGCACCATGGGACTAGGATTCCCCCCATGCCTTGATGCCCAGACCCCGCCAGGTCACCAGTGAGGCCACACCACTGGGGTTGGAGCTAGGCTGGCAGCTCTGTCCCTGCAGGTCCCTCAGGGACCGCACTCAAACTAGGCTGGCAAGACCTCTGGACACTCTACCTTCCTGGCATGAGAACAAAAACTTAGGGAGATGACTTCCTCCTGGTCACACTGGGCCCAGATTTTGAGACCACTTTTCCTTCCACACCCCAAACCCAGGAAAGAAACAGTCCCAGGGGATGTCCCCTGGGGAGCCAGGGCTTGGGCTTGGGCCCAGGCCCAGCCTCAGCCTCAGCCATCCTAGCCCAGTGTCACCCTGTCAGAGCTCTGCCCCAAGGCCGCAGCTCCGCCTGGCCTAAGCATGCGGGAGCCTCGGCATCCTGTTGAGCTGCACAAGTGTCTGGTGGTGCCGCTCAGTCAGCCAGGATGGCAGGTCAGAGTGGAGGGCTCTGTGGTGCTGGAGACGGGGCAGAGAATGTGCGCAGAGGGAACATGGCAGGCTGGGGTGAGTACCATGCTGATGCCCGTGGAGGTGAAGCTGTGCCTCGTGGTGCTGGGCTCCAGGTGTCCCCGGTGAGGAGAGACTGACAGGGGACGGGACAGGAAGGGACTCCTGAACGTCCCCTAGGGCCGCCATCTTCCCCGAGACCTGCTGAAGGTGTGCACACCTGGGACCTGGGGAAAATGAAAACCATGGCAGATGAGGGGTATGGAGAGGAATGCTGGGGAGGAGGGTAGATGGAGGGGGGAACAGGATAACTCTCCAGGTGAGACAGACGCTCATTTATTCAGCAGGGAGCAAGGATGAAAGGTGAACCGGTGGGGACGTGTGAGACCTGGAGTACTAGGCCATCTGGGGACCTGGCATGTTTATTTAATAAGAAACGCTTATTACATGAGCACCACCTGGATGCACCCACAGACCCGCACAGCCTGAACCAAAGCTCTCATCCCAGCAAAGGATCTGGAGTGTCCTTCCAAGCTATGGCATCACCCACAGAGAAAAGAATGCTGATTCTTCCAGAAAAACCTCAGCTGGGGGCCACTGGCCCTGTGCGGGGGTGAAAAAATGAACCATGCCTGCTGGGGCATGAATGTTTCAGATGAAATCTTAGCAAAGCATTTTCTGAACAGCAAAGGGGAGGGATTGCCAGACAGAAGAACCCTTTTTCTCAAACCCTATGGTGTCCTCAGAGGCTGCAGGCTGTAATCCCCCAAGTCCGGCACTGCCACAGTGCTCTGAGACTCATTCGGGGGTCAAAGATACTTTTTCTTAATTTGGTTTGCAAGAATAATTTGAGTCCAATATGAGAAATGATTTTTCTCTTTCATACTGTGATAAAGTAGGAACTCCTTATTTGGGGCAGGCAGTGAAAAAGGACATGGGGAGGGAAGGACAAATGTTAACACACCTTCAGCAAGGGTCACGGACAGTACCTGCTTTAAGCAAGGGGGAAAGGCGGCAAGTAGAGCCACCGCAAGGTGCCCAGCTTTCTGGGCCAGTCCCATCACCTAATGATGGGAAGGGGGTGGGCAGCCAGGTAAGCGGATCCAGGGTGGAGCTGCAGCGTGACGCTGGGTACAGGTCCTCACCCCCCGAGTCACATCTTAGGTTACTTAGCTAACTTACTGGGGACTCTTTTGGAAAAAGATCCCAGTCTTGGCCCCAGGGTTGAGCAGAGGTGGCACTCACAGGGTGGAAGCCCCTTCACCCACAAGGATGCAGGCACAAACACTGCGTTGCACGCCCACGCTGCTGCGACAGGCTGAAGGGGTTGCCACCGGCTCTGGGACAGCCTGTGCCCCCTCTTTTCCCAGCCCCGGGGGAAAGAGCCCGATCTCGGGGAACTTAGCCACGGAGCGCAGCGGCCTGGCCGGGCTCAGGTCCGGCGGCATCACACACCCAACCGCGGGACCTCGGACAAGGGACTTCGAGCCTGAGTTTCCCACTTCCAAAGTAGGAATGATCACAGCTCCCGTCCCCCGGTGCGTGAGGCAGGCGCTCCGCAAACGGACACCGCGATCTCCGGGGACCGGTGCGCCCACGGCTGCGGAGCAGGGTGGTGCACTGCCGCTCCGCGGAGCCCACCCTCGCCCCGAGGCCAAGGTCACGGCAAGGGGCGGCTGCGGGAGGGGCGGTGCGCCCTGGCAGGGCGGGACCGCACCGCGGAAGACGGCGCACTAGCGCGGGCCGGGCGGGTCCCAGGCGCTTGGAACCGCCACCGCCGCCCGCGCCCACTCACCTTCGAGCGGGAGGAGGCCGCCGCGCACCAGCCGGAAGCGCGCCCGGCCCCGCCCCGTCGCCTCCTGCGCGCACTTCCGGGACGCTCTGGGCACCGGGAGGACCGCGCGCTTCAGTGGCCGCGCGGGGGCGGGGCCAGCAGCCAACCAGGGGCCTTTCACCGCCCCGCCGGTGCGTGGCTTCCGCGTCCCCACGGGCCGGGGATCCGCAATAGGCGGCCGAGCTAACCATCTGGGGGTGTGCCGCGGCGCGGGAGCTGTGGGGCCACGGGCCGGCGCGTTCACCGACCTCTCGGAGAGGCCGCCGTCCTCCAGTGCTGCGCACCGGGCCAGGGGCTGCGGACGTCTCCTCTCCAACCCGCCCCCCACCCCCGTTAAGCGGTTCCCGGTGCGGGTGGGGGTGGCAGGGAGATGCCGCCGGGCAGGCTGCCGCCGGTGCCGGGCTGTGCGCTCCCGCGCACCTGCTGCTGGGCGGCGTGGCTCGGGCGGGACTGCAGGGTCCGTAGGGGTTGCAGACCTGGCGGGAGCCTTTCCCGCAGTCCTTGCGTTCACATGGCTTCTCTGAGTTTCTACGCGAAATTCCCCTTTCAACACTCTAAAGGATGCCTCGTACCTCGGGGCAGAGCGAGTGCTGGTGCTGACACAGAGATGGCGGCAAGATTTTTACCCTTGGAATGCTCGTCTGTAATTCGTGTGAGATTCAATTTGAAAGTTCCACCCACATCGCGCTCAGTATGACCTCTCTTTCCTCAGGATGGTTTTCTACAGATGGCCATCATGCGCTAGGGAACTTGCTGGAAAACACTGCCTCGCCCCTTATTGGGACGCCGAATGCCCCTCTAAACTGCTCTGCCATCCACATGTACTCCCTAGGGCCCGAAGAGTAGCTGTTAAAAGTTTTCTCAAAAGCTTTTTATGGAATTCTCTTCCTGAATTTTCCTGATATTCATCCATAGTTTCTCAGCCCTGTTCTTACAACCTGGAAAAGAGAAAATTGTTTCACTCCTTCTTGTTGGGATAAATGGCCAGGGGAGGGTTCTATGAGCCTGTCCAGCATGGGTACTTGCCTCCAGGAGAGAAGACGCTTGCTCTGGGCAGCGGCAGCGTGGGAGGAGCTGCAGCCAGGGAACCACCAAGCTGGGCGTGTGCGGAGGGAGGGCAGCCCAGAGACGGCAGGACCCCCCAGGAAGGGATGTCGGATGTCTGGGTGGGGCGCTGAGGCAGGAGAGAAGCTGGGCCATCCGGGATGTGTGGCAAGCCTTGGTCCCCAAGCCAAAAGGAGGTGTTGCCCTTGGTGGGTGACATTGGGCCAAGGGAATGACTAGGATAAGAGCTGGGGCAGAGGTTGAAGCAAATCTGGAGTGGGAGAAGGCTCCCTGGTGAGCAAGGGGAGTAGGGCTCAGGCCTTGGGAGAAAGCTGCCTCTGAAGTCCAGGGCCACCCAGGGTCAGTCAGGCCCTGGGGAAGATGCCCTGGGTCCCAGGATGACGGGAACAATGCAGAGCCTTCAACGGAATGTCCATAGGTACAAGAGAGTGGGCTGCAGTGTGCAGGCCAGGACCAGGAGGCTTGTCCTGCCTGCACCTTGGCCAGCCCTGCTAAAATCACTAGGCATCCCAGGTGCTGGTCAGCCTTTCTGATGAGGTCTTGTCCCCAGAGCCCCTTGTCCTCTGGAGGCCCCTTGATGCCCCACGAAGCCTGCGCTGGCTCCAGCTGTGCATGGCACTGATTTGAGTTGGCAAATCCTGCTCGAGTGGAGGAAGACTTGAGTTGGGGCACCTGGCCCGAGTACCTTTATGTTTATCTGCTGAGTGACAACATTGTACTCCAGGTGGGAGCCGGTTCTGCTCTTAAGGCTGCAGGGCCCCTTCCCATTTCTTTGGGGCTGCCCTCTGGACTAAGTGTTGGGGGATAAGCCTTGGGGGCTGCCCTGAGAAATAAGTGAAATGACATTCTGCAGGTGCCAAACAATCCCCGGGCATTAATGCTGGAGCTCAGGCTTTCTCAGCAGGACAGTAGCTTCGGGCAGAACCTGGTGGCCTTATGTGAGTTTTCTATGTGCACCAGAGGCCCTGAGGTTCAGGTGGGGGGCTCCTGAACCACACCTGACCCTGGTCTCCCAGGAAGGAGATTGTACCCAGGAAACCCTGTTCATGAAATTCCCCAGCATCACTGCCCTGCGCGGGTCATGCGGGTAGGGTGTGGGCAGAGTGTAGGCAGGTGGGCAGGGTGTGCACGGAGTTGCTTGCAGGCTTTTTGGGGTGGGGAAGAAGGTGGGTGGGCAGAGGCCAAATCAGGGAAGGTTTTGAATGTGAGTTGGAGAACAGTGGAACTATTCTGTAATGGAGAACATTTTATGCAGGACTCAGGATTTTTCTTGGATATTCACAAAGTGATTGTAATGTTTTTCAAAACCAGAGGCAAAAAATAGGTGGCTCTGAGGCCTGTTGAGCTCACAGCCCTGTTTTGTTTGGGTTACAGTTTTTGAAAAAATGCTAACAAGTACTAAGTCTTGCAACTGTGTGGAGCAACTGGAACTCTCATTCATTGCAGCAGGAATGCAATGGTGCAGCCTCTCTAGAAAAGGGCTTGGCAGGAGATCAACAGTGCAGGCTTAGATATCATATAAGTTACGGAAGATGTTCCCAGGTTGGGGCTATTCCAACAAAAGTGCTATGTACATTCGTGTACAGTTTTGTGTGACATTAGTTTTCACTTCTCTTGGACAGATGCCCAAGTCGATTGCTTGGTCCTAAGTTTCCTCTTAACTTTAAGAAACTGCCAAACTGAGGCGGCTGATCTGTTTGCCTTTCACCAGCTGCCCTCTTTGGCCTGGCCCTCAGCTCTACTGTGCCCGGTGACCCTGTGTCACTTTGCCGGTTCAGTCTCAGTGGCGGGGGGTAGTTACTAGGGCAGGGAGAGCTGGGAGGGTCCTGACCACTCCTGGGAAGATGCTGGTGCTGCCAGACTTCCGAGGCTTGTGTTTCTGCAGGAGCAAATGCTCCTCCACTGTTTTTTAGCTTCCAAAATCCTGGATGTGTCATATGCTATTCTTTGTGTCCTTGTGAATCATCTTGTCTGTTGTTTGCTGAGTTTTCATGGGTATAAACTGGCATTTCTCATTCTCAGCCCTATTGCTGTTTGGGGCTGGACCATTCCTTCATGGGGGCTGACCTGCATACTGTAGGCTGTTGGTGGTGTCCCTGCTGCCAGCCACTGATTCCAGCAGCACCCCCCCCCCCAGCTGTGACAACCAAAATTGTGCCCAGTCATTGCCAAGTGTCCCCGGAGGGCAGAACTGCCCCTTGTTGGGAATGACTGCCCAAACGAAGGATGAGCGAGCTAATGCACAGAGCACTGGACAGCACTGTGTGCTCAGAACTCAGGGGACCTGAACATGGATGGATTACAGGGTCTGAAAGACATTCCGGATGCCTCGCGGGCCTCCCTCTCGAGGTCTTGACTGCAGGCACTAAGCAACCCACTGAACCTCAGTTTCCCAGGTATCTGGGGCCAGAGAGGTGGTAAGTGCATTTTGTCACTGAAAAGGGGTCACTCCCACCATAAGTTAGTGAACTATTGTTCTGGTTTTTAAATGTCAGTCTCTCATGAGTTTGGTTCATGGGCAGCAGTCCTGAAGAGACTCACTGGAGGCAGTGACCAGCCAGCGCCTGCAGTCCTAAGGACCCAGGAGATGGCACCTACATTGTTCCCTGGGAGGAAGCCAGTGGGCTCCTTGGGGGGGATCTTGACTGCACCCCCAAACTGCAGGAGACCAATGGAACAGTAAGCAAGTCAGAAACATGTTTACTGTATGAGAAAATAGGTATGGACAAGCAGGAGAAGGAAGCATTCTGTAACAAATACTGTGATCCATGCGGAATGAAGAAAAAACCACGTAAAAAGTAAGCCACAGAAAAAGTAGTCGAAAACAAAATAGAATATTTATCCCAAATGTAGAGGATACTTACTAAGGACTAAAGATACAATATAAAAGTAAAAGTTCAACAACTTTGGCTAGTAGGAAAGTTGAATTTCTGGGCAATACAAAATGACTGTGGGAAATACTGGACCAGGGACAATATCTGCCACCAACACAAGAGGCCAAGACCACAGGCTGTTACAGGAGCGGTCACAGGACGTGAGCTGTGCGATTTAACACACATGCCATGAGGGAATGTGAGGAGTATTCGGGCATGACAGCGTTCAACCTGACCAAGAAACAGACACACAGTAGACAAAGAGTTGTGAACTCCAAAAAACACCAGCTGAATCGCAGTGGCTGAGGCTGCAGCGACGGGCATGTGTGCAGTGCTTCCTATACCACACCAGGACACCAGGGCCAGACGAGGTACAGACAGGCAGGTGGGGGCTGAGGGGGCCCAGGCCCAGGGGTTCTTCTGTCCAGGAACCCTCATCAGTCCCTGGGGCCACCTTCTGTGGAGCCATCTCCAAGGGCAACTGCAGGGCAATAGTGTTGTCTCCAGCCGGACTAGGGAGTTGCCACCATGGCTAGGCAGGATCCCGGAGGGACTGTGGCCAAGGTAAGGACACTCTACTTGCCCTTGGTGCACTGAACATGTGGCTGGATTTGAGGGGAAAACCAGGAGAAAGCAACACCAAGCTCCGGAAGCACAAGGCTCTTGAAGGCACAAGCCGACGTGCCCAGGGCAGTCTCTTTGCCCACAAGATAATGTGTTTGAGAGGGGACCCAGACCCTACGCCAACTTCCCTGGGCTTCAGCTGTTCTCTGCTGACTGCAGAGATGCCTCCACCCTGTCCTGGCTCCCTGAGAGCCATGCCCCAACACCAACTCTCTGTCCTTGTTCCAGAGCAAATGTCCGAGTCTCCTCAGAGGCTGTGGCTTTTCTCCCTGGTGCTGAGGCCACAGAACCTTATGCCCCATTCCTGTGTTCCTCTACAGCATGTCCTTGTGTCTCAGCTCACTCACATAGGAAAGAAACAATCACATCTTGGTGCCCAAATTGGGGACCGATACGAGAGGTCACTAGGAATAAGGCCCAGGTGTACCCAGCAGCATGGGGG